TGGAAAGTCAACTGTATATGACATACTAAAAAAAAAAAAAAAAAAAAAAAGGAACTCTTTGAATTTTTTGTGGAAGCAACTTTGAGAGAAATGCTTTATAAAGTAAACAAATAAATATTAAGTTTTTTTTTTTATAAATTTTGATACCGTTAGATCGATCATAATTGTGCTTTATTTCATAACTTACGATTTGATATTTTTAATTGTATAATTTCTGCATGCCATCTTACCAGATTTAAATTGATGATCCAATATCTAGAAAAATCCCAAATCCATAATCGCCGAAGTCCCGACGAGTCCGGACTTTGTACTGTATACTAAGAAATAATGATTCACCAGGTTGGCGTCAGATCAACGATGTATCTATGTGTTTCAGTTTGAGATGTATACCATCTGCTATTCCTGAAAGATTCCTTTTTAAATTTTCTGAAGCTTTTCAAATATGATTTCAGAAATTAATATCTTTTCATTGTCCATTTCTGCAAATGATGCATCAAAACAAAACTAGATATGATTAGGTTAGCTAATTAAACTAGATGTAATTTTTAAATTTCTAATAATATCTAAAATTAAGTGTCATGTTCGTAGAAGTGAAATGTATTCATTTAAAAAAGCAATTATTTTGGATAAAGTTTGTCAGTGTGACTTAAATATACATTTCAATTAATATTAATTTTCATTACATTTATAAAAATTTTTTCAATGGTTTAGATTCTATTAAAGAACATTTTTAAATTTAATTTTCTTATAAATGAAGTAACTTATACTTTTGGATACAAATTATTATTATTAATTTACAGTTACAGTTTTTTGTCACAAGTGATATTTTAACTTCCTTCACATATAAGAACCGATGAAATATAATTTCCTTATTTTTATATTGTTCTCATTTAAATAATTAATATATCTTTAAAAATTTAATAATGTAATTATATTCCCTTGTATCCTTAAAAATTTAATACTGTAATTATATTCCCTTGTATCTTTAAAAAATTAATACTGTAATTATATTCCTTTTATCTGTCAAATAAGAAATGCATTTGCATGGTTAGTTTTCATGGTTTTCTGAATATCTATTGGGAATATGAGCGATTCTTTAAAACATCTTCCACAAAGGCATCCCTCTTCTTAGGTGGGCAGCCTTGATGTGTTTTGCCATATTCAAATAACCTAACCTAAAGTAAGTAATGCTTTTCTGTAACTTAATAAGGAAATTGGGTTACTTTAACTACAGAACATGTTATATGTATAAACATGACATAATTTTATGGGAAGAAAAGATCTAATGCAATAAATTTTAGGAATAATCTCAGAAGTTTACATAAGCATGTGAAAAAATTCAGCATTGTAAAGTAATATGCCATTTGTAAAATTATAATAATTAAAAATCTTAGATGTAACAAAAATCTGGTTATGGAAGTATGGCATCATTTGTCATGTGATGCAAAGTACCATGCATGAAAGTAATTAATTTGCAAAATTAATTTTGAAAAATGGAGTGCTATGCAAACTGCTGAAACAAAATGCATAAATTCCTTTTTCGTATTATCTTTTAATATTCAAAGCAACCAAAATTGAATCATACTTTCTAAATAAAACTGATTCCGTAAATTAAAATGTCTAAGCAGTGGAACTAAAATGAGAGTAAACTTTTGCTGATGCCCTTGCTCCACACTCTTAACAAATAAAAGTGAATCAGTTGTCAGTTCATTATTTCTTTTTGTTCATAGCTTTTAAATTACATTTTTATTAATATATATTAATTATTACTGAAATCATTTACATCAATGTACAATAAACAGTGCTTACTTGAAAATTTAGCTGTGACAAGATGTTCAGCTAACAAAAGGAACAGAACTAAAAAAATTGTCTTAAAAAATCCTCAAGACGAAAGAATTCTGTGCTAAACTCTTTGGTCAGTCTTTCTCGATAACACTAAATACAATAGAATGTGTGTGTGTATAGTTCCACAATTCCTTACAATCACACCAAATAAAAGCACACTATAAACTACTGTTTTGAATAAAAAAGAAGTAACTAAAATTGGAAGCTATTAGCGTAAAAAGGATTTTATTTCAAAAGGTTTATCGAAGCATTTAACAAATGAAATGGGCAAGGTTAGTATGCTTGAATATCTCCCATTAAAGAATTATGTTAGCAAAGTGAAAAAAGCTCAGGGTGGGGGAGATTGAGAAATGTTTTGTGGTCACATTAAATGTTTGCTGTGATGGGCATGTGATATCCACATCACAATGTGACATCTCTGTGACATTGTGATGGTCACAAGTGTAATGTGATGAAAATGTAACAGTGGAATGTCATAGCAACTAAATGTGCTCTATGGGCCCTTGCACTAACCTGGTGAATTTTTTAAAAATATTTTGCTTTCATAACCACGACTGTCAACTCATGGCAGCTTGAGAAATGACTCACATAGTGATATCTAAAATATTTTCTCTATTAAATATCTGTCATTCAATATCAAACAACATAGTAACCTTTTATGCTGATAAAAATTATGTTTTGAAAGGATTACAGACTTCAGCCAGGTGCATTGTGAAGTGTTAAGTGAGTTGGTGAGGAGAAATTTAACAAATTTTAAAGAATAGAATTTGTAATTGATATACATAGGCCATTTAGTGCTGTTTGAATTAAAAATAACTGATTTGTTTTTCCCGATAAGCCTCAAAGGTACTTTTTCATTATGCCGCTGCCTTGTCTTTTGGCTCATGGTAGGTGAGGATCTATTGGTCATCATCTGCCATGTGTCCGAATAATAAATCAACTAACAGATGGTGACATCTGTAGTATGCTTCCAAACCTAGAACATATCAATGTTGATAGTAAAGAAAGTGAAAGAGAGGTTGTTGAGAATGAAAAAATGTCAACTCACAATTGAGAATTCTCAGCAAGGCAGTTACAGGACTGTGTAGCTGAAGAAGAAATTATGTCTATTTGTAAAATTAAAGGGAAAGTATGAGCCAAAAAAAAGGAGGGGAGGGGAAGCAACTTAACTTACATTGAAAGAAATGTTTAACAAAGCAAACAAATAAACATTGAGCATTTTTTTGTGAATTTTGATTCCCTTAGGATCATAAATGCATCATTATTTCATAAAAAAAATTATTTCAGATTAATTTTTTTTTTATTTCTGCATGTCATCGTAGATTTTAACTGATGATCTGAAATCTGGAAAATTTCCAAATCCGTAATCGTTGAAGTACTAACAAGTCCAGGTCTCAGACTTTGTACTTCTTATTTAAAATATTTTGTTTGCTTACATCTTTAATGAAATATCATTATTCTAAAGGACAGATAGTATTGAAAACAGTAAAAAAAGTAATTATGCAAATCTAGCTAATAAATATTATTCAAGTACAGCTATTCGAGCTACAGAAGATGAGTAGTTGTAAAGGAGGAGTAAACATTTTTATTCTGTATCCTTTAAACAGGGCCGTTCTTAGCGGGAATGCAGCACGTAAAAGTACGCGGGCGCTGTAAATCAGAGGCGGCTGGACTCTCGCGTTACCAGGACTAAATATTTTTAATTCATGAAATTGATTGTAAGTACTTGTCATATGTAAGTGCTTTTTATACAGCTTCTCATATGTAAGTATTTATTGAGTATGAAATAAAAATTTTATTAATCATTAAGCTTTTTTTTTTTTCCTTCCAGCACGCATGTATGCGCAAAATTTACGACAAATTCAGTTTTGGATGCACATTTTTCACATATAAGATGAGACATCTGAAAGTCATTTCTATTCCTCCTTTCTATCCTTCCCCACATCCTGAAATGTGCCAACAGAAAGTCATTTGTTTTTTTTTTAAACTGAGCTTTTGTGCTATGTGGCAGCTTTTTCATAAAAATTACGCGACACACGAGTGGTCGTGTTTTAAAATTCAGAAAATATTTGTAATTGTGTGCTATTGTTTGCCGTATATTATTTTAATTTGAATACATTTGGCTTTGTAAATTTTATATCAGTTTTCATGGCAAAAAAATATGTGCAACCAGCTGATTTTGCTCGGATTCTCCAAGAATTATCTGATAAAGAAAAGGAAGACGAGGAAACCTTTGGATGGGAGAACAATAGCTACTTCCATTCCTTATTTTCTTTTATTTCTATTTTTTAGAAATAAATAAAAACATTAAAGTTTGTTTAAAGTGTGTTTTTGTAACAAGAAGTAAATTTCCTTGCAGAAGTACGTAATGCTAAACTTACTTTTTTTCCTACCAAGGTATTTTCCTTTTTTATTGTCTATACTTGTCATTGAATATTAAAATTAGCTTCAATTTAAAAATATAATTATTAAATAATTAATTTAAAATTTTCTATAAGGAAATACATCATTGCATTTTCATCTCACTAACATAATTTAAAAATAATTTACTTATATTTGAATGTGATATCATTTGTATTTTGCAATAATAAGATTAATATTTTATTTCTTAAAAAATTTATTATCAATATTCACTCATTTTTGTCGTTTTTCGTGCCAAACATGGTAAGATAACAGATGTCGTAAAAAATACGACGCACTCATGCTCATGTAAAATTGCCAAGCACGTGTGCTGGAAGGTTAATTTGGGGGCGGCAATCCTAGGAAAGTACATGGGCAGCCAATGGCGTATGAATGGCCCTGCCTTTAAAGTATACTTTTGAGAAAGTTATTCCATCAAAAGAGGCATAAATTTCATATTGACAGTTTTTATTATGAAACTGAAAAGAAATTGCATTATCAATAATGAGCAGAAATTTAATACAAGTTATTATTTCAGTTTGCAGTATTTATATTGCATAAGTTTAATGTCTGTTAGCTTTGTTTAAGATGTGTTAGCATTTTCAGCAGGAAAAGTTCAGTTCAACTGATTAAAAATTTATAATTGTCAGAATTATACTTTAAACATTTATGACTTAAGATTAGTTTTAAATTTTATCATGAAATTGTTTGTTTTTAATTTATTAAACTTGCTTTAATCTTTTACTATATTTCAGATCGCAACCCATCACCACCACCTGAGATTCTGAAAAATGAAAATCTTGTGCCTGATAGAGTTGGGAAAAGTGTATATAGTAAACAGTGGGTATATAAAACATTAATGGCTGTTATAGAGGTAATTGTAATTATTATTTTACATGTTATGGCTGAAAAAGGTTTTTATTTGAAAATACACAATAAATGCATAACATATAATTAATGACATATATTCAAATTTTCAGTAATTTTAAATTTTCAGTAATTCAAATTTTTAGTAATTCAACAATTGTATAAAATGTATTTAATCTTGAAGTAAATAACTATGTGTATAAAAGTGTTAATAATTATAAAACTGCATTATGTATTGTTCACTTTATCATGTATTGCTCAAGTTCTTCATAGAATGTTCCCTATAAAAGCATGCTTCTCATAGATAAATTATACTTGCCGTTTTATTTTGTTATAGTTGATGAATCAAGTAATATAATTCACAGTCATATTACAGATTCAGGTGGAAAGTATAATTTATGTGTTTTATTTATATTATTCATTAACAGGCACAGTCCAGGTCACTAAAGTCATACTAGGGTCTGAAAACCATTAAATATTAAAAAAAAAAAAAAAAAAAAAAAAAAAAAAAAAAATAGATCTCACTCTGTGTCATAAAGCAATGCATGCCCAAAAGATCAAGTGAGATGGGTCTTTTCCTTTATAAATTCATCACTGATGACAAGTAAATTTTCTAGACAACTGTTGAGTAATTTTCTCCATGGTACTTATCAATTGATATTTTATTAACTAAACTTTTAATTAGTGACATAGTTTTTGTCATTAGATATTGTTGTGATGCACGAAAGTAAAAATACAGAAAATAATTTTATGAATGTGTGAAACACTATATACTGCTCAATATAAGTAGCTAAATGAACCCTTTACGTATCCACATTAGAACTATTCAAATTTGATGATTGGGTGTACTATGTGTATACTGACGGCTCAAATTTGTAGAGAAAACTAAATCAAGTGGACGTATTTATTGTGATCCCTTTTGCCATTACATTTACTTGAATATATCTAGTACCAACATTGATGATGATGGGAAAGCAAGTCAAACGTTTTGTTGAAACTGAGATATAGACTCATCTCACTCTCTTTGATGTGATTTCATCAAATTCTTTTACAGCCCCGATAGCTGTGGCTAACCAAGATGCAGGAGGCCCATCTTGGATAGCTGTGATTAACCAAAATGGGCCTGTTGCATGCTAGAATGAAAATTTTAGATCATTCCTGAATTATCTGTGGTACTGCCTCAAGCATATAGTTCTTCAGTGGGTTTCTTCCTATTTCCCTCCTTCCACATTTTTTTTTTTTTTTTTTTTTTTGCTTCAAAATTTAAACATTTGTACTAATGTAGGTATTTGTAACATATTGTCATTTTCTAAAATGAGAGACACTGTGGTATGTGAGTATATACATTTTGGTGATTTTAAAATCACTTTCTATAGAAAATTTTGAATTCCGAGATCTGGAAATTTTTCACCGATTTTTTTCAGAATATTATAACATTGATAAATCCCATTTAAATAATGGTAATATTTTGGAATTATATTTAAGAAATAACATTAAAATAAAGCATTTTTATTTTTCGCTGTCATATTATAAAGTTCCATTTTGGCCACTTATTATATGTGAAAAATAAGCAAGGTATAATGCTATAAAGCGCCATTTACAAAACAGTTCTTAGCAAAAGCAAAATAGCTATGTAATTTAATGGTAAGAGTTTTTCCAATGTAATTGTCTCAGAATATTCAGAATTCTCAGAATATGCATCAGTTTTCTTCAGAGCTTAACCCTCTGAGTGGCACAGGATTTTAGATCCGTCATGAAGATGTATTTAAACAGTATTTATAAACTTAGTTTGTATAATTACGTATTTTAGTCTGCATTTTCATAAACTTACATTCATTAAGAGAATATTTACATTAATAAAGAAAGGAAAGCAAAATATCTTAAATTATAAGCTAATATATACTAAGTAGCAAAACTTCTGATGACCGGATAAACCCGGTCATAACGTTCAGAGGGTTAAATTGCGCCTGAGCCTATCAGAGTTCTGCTCTAGTACTTGTGCTCTAGTTAAGGAAATAAATCAGAATTTTACAAGGAGTACACCGGGGCCCTAGATAAGAAAACTGTGACACTTTTACATACCTGAACAAGATTTGAGTAGAAATTTAATATAAAAAATTTTATTTTTGTATTAAAATTATATTAAAAATCACTTATTAAATTTTAATTATCTCTTCATATTGTTAAATTTTAACTTAAACTATTTAATTACTTTAAGCATTAATTATTGAATTATTTTAATAATTAATTATTTAGTTTTTTAATTATTAGTTTTTAATTATTTAGTTTTTTAATTAATTTCATTAGTCACAATGCAAGATAAATGCATTATGGAAAGGAATTCTTTTATTAATAAAGAAATTGAAAACTGACAATTTAAAAGATTCATCTAATACGTCTTAATGCATAATACACAGGGCTGGCACTAGGCATTTTCCCACCTGATGCAGTCTCTCTTTGGACCTTAAATTCTGCTGCCTAGTGCCTTTGTAAATTCTGCTTCCAGTGCCTGTTCTAAATTCTAAAAGCTTTGCCATTTCTAGACTTTGTTGCTCGGTGTGTCACTAAATTATAAAAATTATGCCACTATAACCGAACCTTACCATATATATTTCATATTTCTTCTGAATGTTCATATTACTAAAGAAATAAAATTAGCAACTTTTTCTATGCATTCTAAATGCATTTAGTTTATTTAGAATAACAGAAATCTTTAATTAAATCCAAAAATTCTAAAATGAAAAGGAAATGTGGAAAGAAAGAAACTGAATACATAAAGAGAAAAAAAAATTATTCTTCAAAGATATGTATGGTTATTATTATGTAAATTAACCATTTATTTATGATTTCAGCCTTTACTATAATTTTGCATTTCTATTTCCTCATATGATAGAGTTATTGAGTCAGCTTAAATTAAAATGTATCGTCTTTGACCATTAATCCACCTCTTTAATCTGAATTTGACAGTTCTTGTTTAATTACATCACCATGAGTTGTAATGAATTTTGTTAGCATCAGAACATGCCTTTATGTTCTAAGTTCTTTTTAAATAACAAGGCTTATTTAAACCTTTGTATGACATTGTGTAAACCTCATAGCTACATTGTAGAGAAGTTGACAAGTTAGGTGATAAAGCATGCAGAAACTAGTGAGAACATTGGTTTGCATATTGAGACAAATTTGTGATTGTCAGAACGGTGGCTTAAAGAGAAGGAAATCGGTATAAATTAGCCAAAATGTATTGTGAAAGGCTTCAAATTAAAAAGACACATAAATATTTTGTTAAGTGTCATTATATCATTTAAGAATCAGAGTCATAAATTACATATATTTTAAACTGTGAAATTTTATTAGATTGTGATTTTAATACGGCTTTTTTAACAAATATTGTTAAAAAATAAATACATTTTAATGGTGGCTATGTAAATCCATAATGACTAAGTTTATCTAACTACCTAATTTAATTATTTATAACTGACTGCTTACCCTTAAAAATTATCTCTGCATATTAAAATGAGTTATTGCCTTATATTAATCCTTACCGTAGTCACAAGACAAAACACAAAAATGTAAAAATTCATGTAAAACTTACTCTATGCATATGACTTAAAATAATGCAAAACAACTTATCACCTCTTATGCTTTAGTTGCTTATTGGAACCTTAAAGAATATTAACGGGATTACCCCCCACCCCTGGAACTCTGTACGATGCATCAGACAGAGCCCAACTAACTTTCAAAACTTGTCAACCATGCCTAAATCAGGCCTTTTAGGTTTGTTCTAATCAGCAGAGAGCCCATGAAGAGGGCTAAAGGAGCTATTGTACAGTGATAATCATAGACCTCTGTTTCTAAATCGTTATTCGTTCAACATACTGTATGTACTTAACAGACATAAATAAACTGACATCCATAAACTTTCAACATTCAACAACAACCTTAATTACTTATCTCTATAAATTTCACATATTTTTGTATTCACTTTATAAGGTATTTCTCTCGACTTCTTAGCATGCCTTCGTAAGTAGTGGTCAGCACACTTGACACATATTCGAGAGGCCTGTGGTTCGAGTCTTGGCGAAGGCATTGCTCATTTTTCATCTCTTCTGTTTTCAAAAAGTATCTAATGTCTCTACAATGTAATTCTCAGAGTCATTATACAATTCTTAACATTAATTCAGAAGTAGTTATGTAAACTATATATTTCTAATACCATAAAAATTTTTAATCTTTTTTCATAAAACAAAAAAGAAACATTATTACATGTTTATATTTCAAAATAACTTTAATTAATTATTTCATAATTGTGAAAAATTTAAACTTAAGTTTAAATGTACTTTATTAGCAAAAATACAAAATAAAATATACCAATAAAATTAATAAATGTGAAACCATTAAATGAAAATATCAGAATACTTCTGTTTTTATTCTTTGAATCCTATGTGTTCTTTAATCTCAAAACAATAAAACAATTTATATAAAATTTAAAATCCACTGTTGCAGCATCACTTTTGTTTTACTAAAGAAACAATGATTTAATACTCTTTGATCGAAAGGAAATAATTTGGATAAACATCTATAAGGCTGGATATTAAAATGCAGGAATCAGAAGAAAAACATTTCGTACAGTTCAACATGTGTGGAATAAATGACACTTGTTTGAAGACTTCTGTTAATTTTCAATACAAAAATGGAAGTATTTTACATATGGTAATTGAAAACACTTTTTACAAACACAGACTGATGGCTGAAACACCGAATCATTTTGTAGTTGATTTTAAATATTCTTATTGAGTTTGAAGCACAGATTGAATCACAGATGCGGTTATGCTATTGATTTAGAATTTCGGTCGTGAATTTTTCCATTCATGTTCCTGCACTTATGAATCCTAATTTTCTGCTCATTATGATTAACTTTTCAGGATTTTATGCCATCAACATTTCTACATATCTGTGCAATTACTTTTTCTACAACAATAAAGTCTACCACATCATCACATCGTAGCGAATGTCTGATTCATTACATATATAACTTGCTTTGAACTGGCCTTAAAATAGAAATTAAAAATAATTGTAAAAATAAAGATTTTAAGGAAAATTCTCTAGCGCAAGAAACTAGAAAAACCATTGAGTAAATCAAGAGTAATCTGCGAAACAAATATTAATTAAATTTTTGAGGTTTATTATTTGAGAATTCTTTTTATAATCTTTTTTAAATGTTTATTTTTAAATTTAATTTTGGGGTCCTATTGAAACATGTTATCTCTCTCTCTCTCTCTCTCTTTTTTTTTTTTTTTTTTTTTTACAATGGCAGATTGTGAACAGTTACAGTGTAAGCCAGTCCATTAATCTATGCAAGGCCAGATGTGGTGGTCTCTTTATTATGGAGGCACCTAATAGGTGCGCCACCATCGCCTCCTATGAAGGGACGGACAGTTACAACCATGCCTTCTCCGGGATTCGAACCCAGGCCCTTCGGTATCGCAGTCAGGTTTCCCTAACCACTATACTGTCTGGGCGGCACATGTTATAAATTCAATTAATCATCAAGTTAAAATAGATATAATGATTAATTAAATCAATATATCTTGATGATTAATTAAATTTAAATATATAAAAAGGTAATTTGTAGCACTTTCAAAGCTTTGATTATTTAATTTTACTTAAATTATCATAATTGGCATTTTCTTTTAATTTTTATTTTTAAATGTTTCCAGTATTCACAATCATATAGATATTGTTCGAAAACATCACTGTGTGAAAAATTCTATGGCTACTCCTTAAAAAAGATCAAGGAATTTCTACTATTTTTTATATTTTATATCTGTTTATTAATTTATTGTTTTGTTTCAATTTTGAAATGTTTTTGTTTTAATTTTGATCTGTGTATTTCTTGTAAGAAAGTTGTCCCTTTTCATGATCTAATTTTGATTTAATTATTGTCTTTTGCTTATTTAATTAATTTTGCAGCATACTACATGATTTTAATAATAAGTATCTTAACTTGAAAATTATCAACTTATATATATATATATACACATTGATATTGTTAAATATTATTGTACCATAGGTGATTAAATCAACTGCTTCTGATAAGCCAGGGAATTCTGATAATTCTGCAGAAAAAAATGAGAATGATATGGTAGAATTAGATCCTAAAATTGAAGAAGATGCTTGTACATTGTGGGACATGGCAGCTAATCCTGTATGTTTTCTATGATTTTTGCAATAAAGAACTAGTATAAAATATTTCTTTCTTGAAATTTAATTTCTATAAAAAATTATGTGCACATACATATGATTTTTGTTAGCTTTGAGATCACTTTTCAGTATGCTTCAGTTTTCAATATGCTTCAATTTTCAATATGAATCATAGATTCTGGCTTTATTTTTTAAAATTATATTTTAATTTATGTAAGACAAGTATCTAAAATAATATAAAATATTTCCAAAAGTTAAGAAAAGTAATAAATATAATAAAATAAATGAGTAATGTCTACTATTCTAAACAGATGAAATGGTTTGAAGAAAGGACAATCAAATTTCACTTTTATTAGGAATGGGTTATTTGAATTTTTATGTTTCGTTTATATCCAATTATCTGTAGAATTACATTTTGTTAGCTCTCTTTAAGTTCCAAGTCCAGTTCTAAACATTCCTTTGTTACACTTTAACGTAATCAACACCATATCTGAAACCACAGCTCCATTTTTTAGCACCCCAATAGTGTTAAAATGCTGCATAAAATGAATCAATAAAAAACTTAGTCTTAATTCTTGAACAAATTTAGTCTTAATTGTTTGTTTTGCTTGGCATGACATTTTATCTTGCTTCAGAAATCACTGACTTAGCCAAATGGCCTGTGAACAGTTGAATTTTAGCTGAGTCTGTGGAAGCTATATCATTGGATCATATTTTAAAGCTACATAGCTTTTATTAGCTGTTGCAGTTACATAATTAGATTTTGGTTGTTCTTCCAGCAACTATGTTTTATTTGTATGGCTGTGAAGATCACACATAATAATCATATTTTCTTTAAATTAGTTATCCTGCACCTTTTGATATATGAAATGGTACATTTCAATACACACAAAGAAAAGTGAACTTTCAAAGTAAACTAGGTGTAAAGTATATTGATCATTCTTCTTTTGAGCCTTTTAGTTATTCCAGGGTTTTCCTATTGTACAGATCAAGCAAAATTTACCAATTGTTAATATCTGTCACATGATGAAAAGAAAAAAAAATTTTTTTTTGGGTAAAATTCTGTTCTGCTACATCTTACACATTCTATGTATTTCCAAAATAAGATTTGAATTGTGAAATTTTTTGATTATTTAATATTTTTAAAAAGTTGTCTAGAAAAAGAAAAACTGATATTTTATTTTTGTAACCTAGAAGTATTGAAAATTCCTCCCCACCCCGGAAAAAAAAACTACACTTCTCACTGTCATGCATAGGAAAAAATAGCACCTTCATTGAGTGAAGATTGTGTTCAGTTAGTTCTAATGCCTAACATCAAATTTTGAAAATACTTTTTATTATTTAAATTTTTATTCACTTATTTTAAGAAAGACAAAACATAGAAAATTACTGTCATCATCAACTGAGATAGAAAGCATTGTCTCAAAGGAAAAATGCTTAAAATGTTTGTTTTTCAAAAAACCCAGCAATGATTTTCAGTAGTTTTTTTGTAAGAAATAAGTGTTTTCAATATACGAAGTAGTATTCAACCAAAATTGTTTTGTGATTTTATTTATTTTTTTGGGGGGGATAAGTAACACCTTCTTAAATTCATTTATTATTTTCATTGCCAGTATTAATTTAATAACAAAGTGAACAATAATTCTTGTATCCTACACTACATTCTTTAAATATCTTAGTTTCCATGTAACTTATAAAAGTATCCTAAATTCATTTTGGCTATTACATTAACTCATTATAACATCCTTTTTCTTTAAGATGTGGGATCTTTTGTAGTAAGTATTTCACTTTATTAATTTATAATATATTCTTATATTTGATAAACTGATCTTTTAGGAAGTTGCTGATTTTCTGTATGAATGTGGAGCCCCTGATATCTTTCTTGATGTCGTTGATAGCACGAAAAGTCCAAGACTTTTGGTATATAACATTTTATTATTATGCATTTGTTAAAATTTACTTTTAACTAAAACGTGTATTTAATTTGATATGCTGAACTCATATATTTTAATTAAAAAATTTATTAATATTAAAGAATGGTTAAAATATGTAAATTCTATTCAACAGTACTACAAATTGAATATAAAAATTGACCTGTGTGATTTGCAAAGAGAATTCTTCAGTTAAAATATATTAGTGCTATAAGGTTGTATTTTAATAATAAATAATATTGAATTATTTTTTTTTAAAATGAGAATGTTAGAAATTTTAATTTTGACAACTTAACTTTCTGAGTGGCTTTCTTTTTACACTTGCAGACTAAGAATGGCATTTAAACAATATTAATTAACTATATTTATATAACTACTTATTTTATTTGTTGCATTCATTATCTTCTGTTTGTTAGGATGATGTCTAGATCATTAAGAAAAAACTGAACATAAAACACTTCAGGTAGCAATGTGCAATCGAATCCTGGACTTACCAAAAATGACTTACTTGACAATTTACCAAAAATGTCAAATTTTATGGAATAAGAGTTGGATTATTTTGAACTCCTAATATTTTACTGCATATTAGTTTAATGAAAGTTTGCATAATACAGAACACAGAAAGATACAAAATACCCTATATAAATAATTGTTAAAAGTTTAAAAATTAAATTTACATGCAAAACTGAAATAACTGGTAGTTCTTTGTAGAAATAAATCTCTTGATGTTAGACTGTTTCACTGATTTCATCTTCATGCAGCTTCATCACATATGTCATGGAGATACAAAATGTCCACAGCAGATGAATCTTGCTTCGCAAAGTAACAGTGCATTCCATTGAAGTAACAATCCATTCTTTTAATGGAATACACTGTACTAATAAGTTTCTTCACTGTGAATCCCCTTTGTCTTCTGATTCTTCATTTTTATCCCCATTCTCTTTCACTAGTGCAGCTATTTCACATTTATTAAACATTCATAGTTTTCCTTCTGTTCCATATATTTTAGAATGTCACAATGAGTAATTTCTTTGTGGCTTGGAATTTTCATCAGTAAGTCTACTATTTCATAGTTCTTTGTTTTCTTGAAACTTTTTTTTCTGAATGGTTCAGCAGATTTCTCCAGGAACAAATGAAGCTTATATGCTCAATTTCTTTCCCAGGTTCAGATATTAAACAAGTCTGTTTTGTTTAGTTTATTGATTATGTCACATCCTTCCTCCTCGGCTAAGACAAGAAATAAAAATATTTATGTGTATCTTTTCTTCAATGCTTCCAAAATGCCCTGGTCTGTTGATTGACATTTTAGAGTGCAAAGTCACATTAAAAGTGAAAAGTACAGCTGTTATGTTTTTGTCACATAGCTGTTCCTCATCAGGATATGATGAGGCTTTGTGTGCGAATGAGAAGTACCCCTTCCTAGCAATGTTTATAAGTTCTAAAAGTTTTCAGCTGAAGGAACAAACTGCTGATAAAATCAGCTTTGAAAAATGGCTACATTCATTTATGCATTTGACTAATTTCTATACAAAACAGGCAGATCTAGAAGATATCAGTCCCATTAGTGCACTTTTTATGTTTTTAAATGTGTGGAGACCTTTACATTTGCTAATGAGCACTAGTTTGAATTATGGCTGGCTGCCTTTGCATTGTTGCATCCTAGATTGTTCTTCCTTCTTTTATATCATGTAGGCTTTCTTCTGTTCTTCCTTCTTTTATAAACTGTGGCTGATGTCTTTCTCATGGATGCAAGAATTTTCAGAGGCAGCATTTAGAGATCAGATCAGACTTATTACAGTTGTAAACTGATTCCCAGTTAACTAATTTTCAATTATACTGTGGAAAGTTTTCCTGGAATTTATTAATATTTTTCAAATCAGCCAGTAGTTTTTTTCCTGCAAGCATTTAATTGTTTGATGCCATAGCACTTTTTTCACCTGTTGAGCCAGCCAACACTAGCAGTAGGCTCTCCTTCCTGAAACTCCTTATAGAATTTAAGGGTTTTCTTTTGCAAAATGTCTACCGAAATGGGTGTTCATTTTTTCTTTTTGCTACCTAAACCTCAAGTAAAGCACCTCACTCACTCTCTCATATTTACCACTTTTCATACTTTTACTTTGCATTAAACTATCAACATATGCTTCGTACACACATCAAGGCTTGATTTTGGACCTGTTCTTTTCCCACTTTATTATAGTAGTGCATCCAACACCTAAATCCATGGCATTATGTAAACACTTTCTGCTTTGTCAGTCGGTTTAAGGCATCCAGTTTCGTTTAAATTTTCTTGTTAATATCCTTTCTTTACAACACTCGTAAGCCTGGTTTAAACTGAGAAACTGTAGTGAAAAGGAACTTAAGGTTTAGCTTACAATATGATTCAACCATAAATCATTAGACAAGCTTGCTAACAACTAGCAACAGACAGGAATCTTTTGTGGTAATGACTTTTTTGACCACTTTGTTTCAGAGTAAGAATGGCTAAATTGAAATTTCGATAAAAAAGATAAAAATTTTATCATCAAATTAGTTTGATATTTCCAGGACTGAGTGTCAGAAATAGTATACTGTAAATCTCTGAACAGAGTGGGCAAATTTACGGGCATTCATATGCATAAATACCTACTATAACAATAATAATTCAGTAACCATGTAGGCGTTGTTAGAAATTATTACAGTCTTGATATTAGTAGAATAATAAATTTTTTCAGAGATAATGTTTTTCTTGATCAGTAGAAATCATTTAGTAACTTATAAAAAAAAAGGATTGTTGAGTGATATGGAATGTCAAGAAATTGGGAGATAAATTGGCAGGATTCTTCTGTAATATATGCCAAATGATGATAAGTCTCATATCAATATAAAAGCAGTCAAGTTTTCCAGAGGGTTAAATATTTAAAAAAAGTTTTATAAATAATTTCTGAATAACAAAGAAAGTAATTTTTAAAATGCAGTATATTAAGGGTATTTTTTTTTTATGATCTCAAGCATTATGTGTGTTACATAATATAATTCTCATTCAAAGGTCTTCCACAAAAGTAACTCATTCTAAGCAGATTTCCCTTATAAAACTTTTTCAGTATTAATTATCAACCAGTTTTCTTACATAAAGTTGTGTCTGAAGAAAGATGTACAGAGTGTGTTTACATATTTTTAGAATAATTTCGAGACTGTTTAATTAAATATTTAAAATATAAAGAATATTTTTTTAAATGTTCAATCAGCTAGCCTCTTTTTCTGGACTTTTAAGTCTGCATTATGATATTTCCATAAAATTTCCATGGGTTATTGATTTCCATTTCTCTTCTGCTACTTTTCAGAGTCCATTTCCGTTGGCCCCTTTTTAAGAAACCAAAGGCACAATAGACCATAAGTAAAACATCAGAGCTTATATGCTTTTTCATTGCATGCATAGTTTTTCATGCATGTATACTTTACAACATATTTCTGCAAATTATGTTGAAAAAGTGTATATGTAATACATGTATCAGTCTCCATTTTTTCAAAGTATGCCTTGTTGCTTTATGTTGATGAAGTTTCATTCTTTGAACGTGATTGGTATAAAGAAATGGAATTTCTTCTGTAAATATTAGATGTAAAACTTTCTCTTGGTAGTACACTGAGTTGATTAACATTTTTTCCCTCTCTTATTTTTAATTTCCCATTGTAAAAGAATCTTGCAACAGTTTATAAACTCTTTACTGAAACTTGGTTTGTATTCACGGAATTGGCTTTGCACATTTTTTTCTCTTTATTTTGCGTAATAAATAGATCTTTTTTGTTGCAGTCATTTAGGTAAACCCATGCTTCATCAAAGGTCACAATGTATTTTGATTTATCTCCTGATAAATAATTTTCTTTACAGGGTTGTACAAATTGTTCTGCATTGAGCCATATGCCATAGAAAATGGTGTTAAACATAGTTTTTTAGCTTTTTTAAGTTGTAAATGTCTGTTTATTATTTTACTTATTGTTACTACAGATGTAGATAAAGACTTTGAAGCTGATTTCTATGTCGATGGATTTTTTTATTATTATCAACTACCGTAATTTCCGGAAGAAACGCTGCGGCGTTTATGTGTTTAAAACTTAAATTTTCAGCGGGTGTGGCGTTTCTACCCATGCGGCGTTTAGGTGCACTAAAAATAAAATATTTCCTATGATGGTCATTGTACATAGTTTGGATGGCCTTGTCATGTGCATAGACTGGTGTGTTCCCACACAAAAGACCACTCAGTTGATTTTGCGAACGTTATTTTGTTTACATTCTTTCCCTTGAACGGACCTACATGCCTTATTCACCCTAAACGAGATCTCAGAACATAACATTCTTCCCCCTTTCAAATCAAATTCTCATCAGTTGAATAGTCTCTCTTCTCTGCCATTCGATGAATCTTCCAGGACCATCCTCTCCCCACCCCTGCCTTTTCTGCAATTTTTTTCAAAGGCGGACACGACTCCACCTGCCTCGCAATAACGAACTCTGACATATTTCCCCTTCAGCATGAATGGATTTTTTCTTGGCATTCTGCCAAATACAGATCCCATCACTAATTCAGAAGTCAAACAACAAAAATCAGCGTTATATTTACAAAATTTTCACAGGACTAGTTTTGATGGTTTTACCGAACCACAATCTTCAGCTGCAAAACCGCAAGTTGCGTTTTTGCAGCTGAAGATGGTGGTTCAGTAAAACCATCGAAACTAGTCCTGTGAAAATTTTGTAAATATAAATACCGAACCACCATCTTCAGCCGCAAAATTTGCGGTTCATTTGCGGTTTTGCAGCTGAAGATGGTGGTTCGGTAAAACCATCAAAACTAGTCCTGTGAAAAAATTTTGTAAAATATAATGCTGATTTTTGTTGTTTGACTTCTGAATAGTATTTTTCGGCGTGTTATTGTGTCTAATTACAGATCCCATCAGTTGGGTACAAGTTACTTGTTGGATAGTTTTAAGTAAGAAGGGAGCGGAAAATTTTTGAAAATGTCTCTAAACGGCACAGAAGCTATAATTTCTTACCTTTAATTTTTTGAGGTTATGGTTTCATTTCATGCATTTTTCTTACTGCTATGTCATATATCAGGACTTAGGTTTGAGTTTTTGCATCTATACAGCCCACGATGATGTCACGCGCAATTTAATCTATTGCGGCGTTTCTGTGTAATTTAAATTTTTTTCCCGCCATTTTTCTCTAGTGCAGCGTTTACACTGATGCGGTCTTTCTTCCGGAAATTACGGTATTTAACTTTAGAAACAGTGCATACCTTTTTTGGGTATTTGTTTGGAGCCCTCTTCCCTTGTAGAGGTAATGATTGACTGTTTTCTCCTTTTCGAATGATAATGTTGCCTATTTTGCACGTTTTCTAATTAATAATGTTGCTAATTTTAATACTAGCCTTTCAGAATGTTTTTGAATTATGGAATAAGAATTTCAAGCCACAGTTTGTTTACATGCCACATTTTGAAAGAAAACTAAATTTAAAAGTTGTAGACAATACATTTCCAAATGATTGCTTGTTGTTGCGTGTTCCTTGATCTATTACACCAAGATATTTTACTGTACATTTATTTAAAATTTATTTGCAAGCCGTATGCCACTTGGCATATTTACAAGTGTTATGCGTCCTGGCATGTACATGATACACACATTCTGCCACCTGGCATGTAAATTGATACATCATACTAGTTTTCTGCCACCTGGCAGATACGATTCAATTATGTCAATTTAGCGGTAATATGCCCGGCATTTTGGCGTGTCCGCTCCACTTACATTGTATAATGCAACTAACTGTGCGGTGTGTCCTCTGGGTACAAATCACCGCAATCACCAAAACATCTGTATTTCTCATTTCCAATAATAAGCTGTCGCTAGAAATTATTTATTCCAAAGTATTTGCTTTTTTTTTACAAAAATATTCTTATCGAAATCGTTCAAAAAATGTGTAAACACCCCCTGTATTTATATATGATGTATATAATACCCAAGCTCTGTATTTTAACTGTAATCTTATTGTCCACATGGGCTTTGACATACATTATTAAGTCAATTTATATTTTTAGTTATTGTGTTGCAGAATAAACATATTCATTATTTTCTGTAATCTGAATATTTCAGGAAATTGTTATAGGTATTCTTGGTAACATGACTTCATTTGATGCTGTATGTCAGAATCTTTCAAAGAATAAGCAAGCAGTGTAAGTATCATGCTGTTTAAAGGTACATAAATTTTTAAGTTGCATGCTAAAATTTTGCTGTTTGAAATTTAATCATGGGCTATTATTATGAAGAATATGGGACACTTTGATATTAGGAAAACTATAGTTCTAACTTTTTATTTATACTTTCTATATATGTTACATTGCAATACTTGAGCATTTATTTATCATGTAGCTTGGCAAGTGTTGCCATTTTGTAATCATCCTTGTTGTCTAATGTGTTGTTGTACTATATCTCTAATGAAATTCAAGGAAATAATTATTTCATATTAGCAGCAAATATTGTCGCTAGTCTGTCTCGGACAGAGGAGAATATTTACGAGTAGCACATGCACATTAGGTAAGCGATGCTAAATCATCTGAAAAACTATTTCTGTTTTATTTGTTAAATTTCTTTATATATCATTTTAGATTTATTATAGTATTTGAATAGAACATGTGGCAATGATTAGATAATTCTTCAGATGATATAATTTTTGTGCATTCTGAGTTATAAAATGAATGAGATGTAACACTGTTAAGTGAACCTAGTGCTAGAGTCAGTCTCGCTATGTTAAGTAAATACAATAAAAAGTCCAAAATCCGACTCGTCGGGACTTCAGCGATTCCGGATTTGAGATTTTTCTGGATAATAGATCATCAATTTAAATCTGGTAAGATGGCATGCAGAAAATTATACAATTAAAAATATGAAATCTTAATTTATAAAATAAAGAACAATTATGATCTAAAAGGCATCAAAATTTACAATTGTTTTGTTTCTACTATCGGTATCTGAAGGTAAATACCGATACAGAAACAGACATGGTGAAACCGTAACTAACTAAATACCAAACTGAAAATAAACTCTTATGGCTAGTTAATTTTAACATTTTCAGTGATCATATAAGTGAAATTATTTGCGTTGCGTTTTAAGCATCCGGGACCGTGTCATGAGAGGATCGGATAAACAAGAAGTAAATACAACATAAATGAGGAAACACATAAATAGATATAAAGAAAACAATAAAAATAGGTTTCCAGATTATAATAGAAGTTTATTCAGATTCCTCAAAATTTTTAATTAAATTTCACATCCTAGGTAATCAATACTCAATTCCTTATTTCAGTTACACATGTGAACTAATCAATTTATATCATTTACACATTCAAATTAAGGATTTACAAATTTCATTCTCGTTTCAATTAACTTGATGAAATTAGTCTCAGAATTCACTTTATGACCCATTTAATTTAACTTTAACCAGAACTACTGCAGTAAATCCTAGGATGGTCAAAAACACATTGCTTTCTTCAGGTACATCTCTGAAATTCAACATCTATACTAAGGGTAATTTCACAAAAACAAACTATATTTTTATACCAAAATTAACATATTAAGATTTTCCATTAGTCTGTGTAATAGAAAGACAGGGAAAGGGGGTAAATTTTCAGCCATTCAGAATTAATTTAGAGATTCAATATGAAGTATAAAGTCCTAAAGAAAGTTCTGGAATTTCTTTAAAGTTCATAGGAATAAATGAAAACACAGGAAAAAAAAACTTATCTTTAAGTAGAAATCTTGAAGTGGAGGAGAACTTTATCTTTAAATCTATGCTGTCGGCACCTGGCAAATCCACACCACAGGGACTCAAAACGGCATGGCAATAAATTGCATCACACTCAAGGAAAATCAGCTACACTGTCCACAGAAAATTGGCGGATTTGAAGAATGTGTGAGCCATTAGAATGGAGTGCCATAAGTAGCAGTCCTGCTTCATTCCTGTAAGAATATTTGCAGCAGCTAGGTAACTGGCGTGGCTTATGATCTGTATACAGTTCAATCAGGTATCGAAATTCAATTCATAAAAGCTGGAGAGAGCATATTAGCAACTCCCTGCTCTTTTGCAGTAGACAGCGACTCTGCCTCAAGTTTGGAGTCCTTCCAAGGGCACAAGACAAGGAGTCCTTTGGTGCAAGATATTCAGAAAATTCTTCTAAGTATCCCACCAGATGACACCTATCCTGATCTGGGTTCCAGCTCATGTGGGTATTACTGGCAATGAAGCGGCGGACCTCCTTGCGAAATCGGCTGCCAATGACTCCAGTAGATTGGAAAACGCAGTAAGTGTTCCGCAGTCCTATTTAAAAAAAAACCACACATCAATAGCCTTTTTCAAGAAGGCAGAAAAGATGGGAAAGGGAAAGCACAGGGAGGAGAACCTACAAGTTCTTTCCAAAAGTCACGTGCTCAGTTAATACATACAGAGGAGCACAAACTCAATTTTACACTGGCCATAGTCCCTTCCCACATTATCCTTAAGAGATTCGGCATACGAGCATCAGATTTGTGTGAAGGTGGTGCGGTAGGTGATGCAGATCACTTCCTCTTCAACTGCCCACAAACCGATAAACTGCATTTAAAAATGCCAAGCAGTGATACTGGCCGCGAATGGGCGGAGAATACCCGCGGCAACAAGCAGACGAAACTAAAATAGAGGAGGTATCAGGCTTGCTCGCAAGATTCTAAGAAATTCCCCCTCTTTGAGAATTGTATCTTCGCAGCATAATTTTAATAGCAATTCAAAATACTACAACTGAACATCAACACTAGGAAAATAGCTCACCCCGTAGAATAATAACAGGACTGTAAGAGCAAAACTATTGTAATGTAAGCATATTACTATCCAGTTTATATGTACTTGATAAAAATATATGTAAAGCAGTTTAAATGATATTGAAAATCCAGTCAATGTGTAAATGAATTACAAGTTTAATTTTGATTATCTCAGTAAAAGTTTGTAATATGATTCATATAATGTCTAATGTACACATAGCTGTCATGATTTATGTATCTATCATATGTAACACAAGATAATGATTGTAATCAACATATCTATGCTTATTCACAGGCCTTGTATGCCCATGTAATTTATTGTATATTTTTTACACGGAGGAAATTTTCCTTCTGCCAGGATGACTACTAACCCTGTAAGACTTTTACAACAAAGTCAGGTCAGTGGTTATCTCAGGCGGCGCTCTGCCAGTAATAAATGTCTAATTCAACCAGAACAGAACGGAAAAATATAAGACGACTGTCCATAATTCAAATCTTTCATTTTCAGAAGATTTTGCTCAGCAATCATTCTTGCATTTTAGCGAAACACGCGGCCAAGAAGCATATTGCCACTCCCCGCCAGAAGCACAGCTTAGCAAGTGAATTACATCTGTCTTTCTTTTCTCACCTCGCAACACCACAAGTGTACAATCTCATTGTCAGTCAACAAGTGATTCAAACTAAAATTTTCTTCATCTCCATCAAAACACGGACTCCCATAATGGCTTCATATATCGCCCCCCTATTTGGGACTAAATTTGCGTTTCTTCCCCCGAGTGACAGAAATAAGGTGATACACATGCATGCCCCTCTTCACTTAACCAACAACCTGGCACCCCGATCGCCAAACAAGATGACTAACATCGAAGGTGAAGTGGCAACCTCTGACCTTTCTGTCACGTACCTCCTGTCCAAAAGGTCAATTGCACAAAAGAAATTTGTTCTCGAACTTTCCAAAGAGCAAAATAACCCGTAAAAATCATAACTTAGCAAAATCGCCTCTCTTCCTGAATTCTTATCACAATGGCAGGAAAATAAGTAATATTCTTAGAAGCTAAATAATTCTTAGAAGCATCTGTTTTTTCCCAAAATTAAAGCATTAAAATAATAATTCAGAATTAAATAAAATTAAGATTTTCTTAAATCAGAAAAATAATTCACCTGGTTATTTTATAACGTGATCAAACAATTATGTACACAACACAATAAAAAGCTTAATATTTATTTGTTTGCTTTATTAAACATTTCTTTCAATGTAAGGTGCTTCCATAAAAAATTTAAAAAGTTCCCTTTTCATATGCCGTATGCAGTTGACTTTCCAATGCCATACTCTCCTCGCATAATTTTGAGATGGATATGCCTTTATCCATTTTTTGCAGCAATTCCACTTTTTGTTTAATGGATATCGAAACATGGTTTCGCTTTGTAGATCCTTTGGCAACTCCAGAATTGGAAACTCTTTTCGACATAATTGAAAGTTAAAGCTTAGTTTTTATAAAATTGCAGTAATAATAACAGTCTGTAAAAAATAATAAGCTGGATCAAATTAGAAGATCAGGGAGCAGCACAGTCTGCTACATTAATTGAAATGCCTTAGAATCAGTAAAGGTAATTTTAGCCTAGCTTAATAGCATGCGTTATACATTATTGGCTGTGTATCACAAGATTGGCGACAAAAGCCAAGTTGTTCCACTAAATTTTGTCTTTCTCCTATTGCGTACTGAATTGTATTAGTTATTTACTATACCTGCGTTTAATTCTTGCACATGCTTAAAACTAATCTTGAGTCCTGAATAAATAAACTCCCACATATACTTAAGGCTTTATCTAGGGCCGGCGCTAGATACCACCTGGTGCAATCTCTAAATCTGCTACAAAATGCCTTCCTAAAGTTCTAATTTCGCCGCGCTAAACTTCCAAGTGCTTTCCCAATTATAAACAACTTCATCCCTTAATTTCCCCAGTGCTTTCCCAAATTCAAAAATTGGTCTTCCTAATTTTTGGAATTTGCCAACCGCTTCTGGGTTTATGGGAATAATTCAGTATTCTTAATAAAGTAGCACTAAATGTAACTCTTGGCCATAGTTTCAATAACAAAATCTATTTTTAGCATATGAAAAGAAATTTTTGTTGAATGTTTCCTCGTCAACATTTCTTAGAGTATTTAAAAATCGATAATCATCGCAAAGCCTAATGTTAGCATAAAAGGTTGCCATACTCTTGTTATTCAATTCCTAATATAAAAAAAAAGTTTAGACATCACTGCATAAGTTATTAATGAAGCTGTCATGTATTGATAAACATGCAATGATGAAAGCAAAATATAATAAATAATGACTCACCAGGTCGGCATCAGGGATATAAAATAGGTGAATGTTTCAGTTTGAGAAGTAATGCCAAACAGACACTTAGCTGCAGAGCCAAATTATTAATCTCACAAATTTATGCTTACATGATTAATGTTTTTTCATAACGATGTATTTTAGTGCCTAAGTAAAATTAAGAATCGGAATTTTTAAGTGAAAATCTCCGCACGTTTTATTATGGAAGGAAAAATCAAATGTGTATGCGTTGAGCATACCCCCCCCCCCGAAAGAAAAAAGCTTGTGGCTTTGATGTCCGGATTTTAGATCATTCTGGATAATGGATGTCCGGATTTCGGACTTTGTACCGTATAGTGAATTTTAAAGAGTGTGTTTGTTATACTGTGGTTTGTGTGCTGTCGACAAAGTAGATTTAATTCAATTCAATGAGTTTAAATGGAATGGAGGAAAATATGCGTATGATTAAATATTCCATACAAGGAAGTCATGTTGTGTACACATCAGATTTTTTAATAAAAGTGTTTGTTTCATATATGGAATTATAGATTTTATTTTTCTGAGAGTAGCAGCATTCAAATTGAGAAAATAGCTTAATTGAAATGAGAGATGTGCTCCTTATGCGCCTTGGCAGCTGATCTATCCTGAAATTTCCAAAAGCTCTTGATTTACCAAACCCATGCCTGTGTCTGTATAAGTATGGTTAAGAAAGTTCGCATGAGTTGTCAGTTTGATTTTCAAACTAGTTGCTATTCAGCTATGATATTTAATGTTAGCTGGATTGTGAGTTTACTCTGTAAGGGATTTTGAAATCTACTGATGATCTTGTGTAGTAAGGAAGAATAGTTTAACATTCATATTCAGCTTAAGCTGTATTATAACTTGCAGCAATATTTTATATACCGTGTTTGCTGGTGTGTAAGACGCACCCCCTTTTTTATACACATTTTGGAAGGATAAAACTTTACAATGAATTTACAATATTTTAAAAATAAAGTAATGCTTTCTTCAAATACTCAATCTATCTGGGAAAGAACACCTTTTAATCTTCTTCATCAAAACCCAGACACTCATCTCCAGAGATAAATGAAGAGTCACTTGGAACCTCTTCTAAATCAGAATCTGAGTCCTCATACAGCAAATTATCCTCTATACCATCCAGTGCATTACTAATGCCACACTCCTTAAATGATTTAACCACTGTCTCTGTTTTCACAGCATCCCATGAAGCTTAGACCCATTTACGAACGAGGTATCGATGCAATAAGCATTGACGTATAAGATGCTGTATTGATGTATAAAAAAAAAAAAAAAAGTGCATCTTATATGCCGGCAAATACAGTATATAAAAATTGCAGAGCTGCCCACCTTCCAGATGAAGCTGGGAGACTTGTAATTTTTCATCAGATCGCCTGGTAAATTAACAAATTGCTCAGTTTTTCATTATTTAAATTTAAATCATCCTTTTAAGTATAACTTTGGAAGAACAAGTGATTGCTAAATGTGAAAGACAAAGAGAATCCGATAAAAATTTTTTTATTCTAAATCTTTAAAGCTAAGATGTTAACAATATTTTCTTCTTTTCGTGAAACATAAATTATGCAAATTTCTTCTTCCTCCTGGGGATTTTAAGCATGCCTTTTCTGATTATTTTAAATTTGGTTTGATAAATATATTTTTTTCTTCTTCTGTATTCATCTGTATAAGGTTTTAAGGAATTTTTAAAACTGAATAAATCAGTTAGAAAACATGAAATAAAAATTAGGGTAATGAATTAAATGTTATACTTCATTATATTATAAATAAATTTAGTGATGCATATTATACATTATAGAATCCTTTCCTCCCAACTTTTCGTGTTTTAAGACTGGTAGATATGTAAAAACGTGATAATGAATTTTTTTAAATGAAACTTTCAGAACTTCTCTTCATGTAGAAAAGAAACCTTTGTCCCTGTTGAAAATATTTTTCAGTTTTGAGAAGTGAAACTGAGTTCTGAGAAATTCACATTTTTATATCTAACAGTCTTAAAACATGAAAAGCTGGGAGCTTTTTCATGCTACACAGCAATATAACTTGAAGTGGATTCTGTAATGTATAATTTGCATCATTGAATTTATTTATAATATAATGCTGACGTAAAATACATTATAAATAAATTCAACTGTTTCATTACATATTATTACATATAATGCACTTATTTGTTTGTCGTAAAAACATTTATAATGGATAGGTTCTGAATATAAGGAAACTTTTAATTTTATACTTGTGTAACTGTAAAAAGTCTATTTGTAAATGGATATTAAATCAAACATTTTTCTTTGATTATATAAAAGACCATCATAAAGTAAGAAGATATTTTCAAATATTCTGATTGCTTTAATTCCATACTGAATAATATTTTTTTTATATTATTTAGGTATTCTACTCTTATGTTATCTGGTACTTCAGATTCCCCTACATTACTGCAAGTTTTTAGGTATCATTTTTATTGTAATAATTTACAAATTCTTTATTGCTCAGAATTTGTATTGACGTTATTAAGATAAACTTTGTAAGAGATTTCCTGTTTATGCATAAATTAATCTTATATAAATACATGCATATGTTTCTCTAAGGAAAAACAGCAGAACAAAAAAGATCAGAATGTGAAACATAACTGACTTTTAGTATCTACGCCAAATTTTGAATAACCAAACTCGAACACGAGTACCTAGAAACCTGAGTTTTGAATTTCGAATTTGTTTTATTATCTGTTTCATATTTTGTAAAATTTTTACGAATTTTTGATTAACAAACTGAATTTCAAAATGGCAAAACTGTAGGGGGGGGGACAATTTTATCTCTAGCATGTGAGACTGTGTATCTGAAATTCTAAAAATAGGCTCTTTTAAAATTATTTTGTGATATTGCTGTTGAATTAAATTTTATGGTTTAAGTGCTAAGAACATGATATTTAATAAATAAAGGTAACACACAAAAGTTAAAAAAATACCCTTTTGGGCATAATATAAATCTGAAAGGTCTCAGATTTTTTTTAATTGATAATTTTTTTCTAATTACCAATTACATAAGATTCAGGCTATATGCTCAGAAACATGCCATAGTATAATGCTACACACAATTAAATGGCGTTGGTAAGCATTAATGAAACATTTGTAGAGGCATCAATGTTTATTTGACAAATTGGAAATGAAAGCACTGTGGCAAATGGAAATAATTTAAACAAAACCTTACCCCTATTTAGCTTGAAATTCATTGTTATCATAGAAAGATATAAATGACTTTCTATGTATAAGAGTTAAACAGTATCAATTGTGTGTAAATTAATATAAATACAACAGAAAGAGCAGACAGTTACTTTTAAGTTTAATAAAACGTGGTCAGATTAGGTTGAAAGAGCAAATTATGCTTTGATTTTGTTTACTTTAATTTCATTTTATACACAGCTATTTGGATCATTCTGTTTATAATAATGTCATGTTATATCTGTTATTTTATAATACTTCAAATTTTAATCCTTAAGGTATTTAGATATATTTGGGATTGCAAACTGTTACTAATTTTTATCTTTTTCTATAGATTAATTCAGTGTGGTGTTGCAAATAAAAAAAGTCAACATTTTTGGTTTGATGCTTTTGAAGAACATCCTTTTTTCATGGAAAATATAAAATTCATTTTTGAAAATAGTTTAAATGGTAAATGTTAATAAAACTTTTCATGTTTATATATTAACAGTTTTTTAATTGCTTAGTTCAATAGAGATTAGTTACTGATAATTTGTTGTAAATACATATTTATTTCTAATTACTTTATTGATAAAACTGTCTGTTTTAAGAAACAATAAAACTTAAATTTTGGTTTCATTTTCATAAGATTTTATTTTATAATATTTTTTTCTACTTTAAGTTTTACATTGTTTTGTACAAAAAAATTATATTACACTGTGTTCTATCTAGTCTTTCAAATAAAAGAGCCATTCATAGTAGAATTACTAAATCTGCAGAGCATTGATAGTTTATTGCATGTTGGGTTCACTTTGTTAGCAGAACAAGCTGGTATACATGGGTGTGCTCATGATTTTCCTTTCTGTAACATAAATTTAAATTAGTTTCCCACTGAAATTTTTCCATGAGAGCTCTTTTTTTTCTTGACAGGTCACTTATATATGTATTTTATGGATTTTTTTTTTTTTTTTTTTTTTTTCCATTTCACTGAACTTTCACACTGGAAAACTTTTAGTGGTTTCATGTAGATTCCCCCCTTCCCCCCATGAGGAACTGAAAAAATAAGATGTTGGTTGAACTGGAGGATATCTAAAATAAAAATTGTCATTTGCAGAACTGGTTTAATGACAGATGTTAGTGCAGTCTTACCAATTATGGTGATCATTTGTAACAACAATGTTCTATTACAGAGACTGAGCGAAAAAGAGGCCCTTTTTAGGTTAGAGTATGTTAAACCCACTTTCATTGTAGTGCCCACTTATTAAAACCTTTTTATATTTCTTTAGGACATGAGGTGCTGTTAAAGGAAGCATCAACTGTACAACTGTATTTTTGTACAAAAGCAACAACTTTGAAAGTGGATTTATTACATTATTTATGTGAACTTATTGGTCCTTCAATGAATTTATATAGGGATAAATAATCAGATGAACATATATAATTATCTATACTATTAATATATAATTAAAAGCACAAGTAGCAAACCTAATCCTTGTTTAACCAAAAGCTACAGACTAATATAAAGATATGTGATTAGAAGAAAGCTGAACTTTAAACAATAAAATTTAACAATCTTTTGTAATGTTATGAATTGATAGAGGATTAGCTGATGATATTCTATTTATGTTACCATCCTGATTTCTGACTTCTATTTGCCCCAATTTCAGGTTTTACTCACTTATAATGTTTGTGTTAATCACATATAATAATTTTACTCGCATATAATGTCCACATATAATTGTATGTAATAATTACTCACATATGATGATCACATATAATGTTTACTCAGACGAATGTTGTGGAAAATGCAGCACCATGAAGGAATTGTCAGAAATGTATGGAAAGGAATTATCAGAAATGTATGAAATTTATTTCTCATATTACTGATATTAGTAAAAATAAATGATCAAATTTACAAAACAAAAACAAAAAAAAAAAAAAAAGAATGTCAGAAATCACTAGTTGATCTGTCCACGCTGAGCGATAAGAGCCTGTACATGTTGTGGCATTTAATCATACAGGTTCTGAATGTAATCCAGGGGAATGGCATTTCATATGACTTCAGCTTGATGCCAGAGTTCAGTGTGTGCTTCACAACCTGTATGAGCTTTTCGCTGCCTGATGAAATTCCAAACATGCTTAATGGGCGACATATTCAGTGAATATGAGAAACCTGTTGTTAAAGAAGATTTGTGCAGTCTCAGAAACATGTGCATAGGAAACATGACAGAAACGTGCATATCCTGTTGAAATACAGCACCTAGAATATATCGAAGAATGGGGAGAACCTCTGGCTCCACAAACTTCCTTTATGTAGCAATCACTTTTGAGGATGGGATTGACAATTTTAACCCAATAGCTACTCACACCACGATGTGAGGTATTTGTGCGGTATAATGCTGAATAACACACTGTGGGAGCAGACATTCCCCTCTATAACATCTGACACATACTCTTCCATCATTGTACTCCAGATTGTAGCAAGATTCATCGAAGAAAATATTTGTTGCCATGCCCATTGAAGTCAGAGGCATTTGTGATTCATTGACAGGGAAATCCTGCATAGAGGAAGCCTTGTATGCAGTTCATGCTGCAGCAGACAGTGATGAACCTTGGAGCTAGACAACACAACATTGTGCTAACACACGAGAGGATGCTGTACAATTCCTTACACTATTTGCAAATGAGGTGTCTGTCGTTCTGTGCCGTTGTGCATGACTCACTACCAGGATTTTGCCTTATTTGATTCTACTCTGTCCATTTCTTCCAAACATGTATCACTATTTGCAAAGTCCACCCTCTCTCTTACTGATGAGGCAGCCTCGTATGATCTCCGTTAGTTGTTGGTATGGCATCCTCCACTGTTGACGAGACATATTGACCATTAATTAAATGTTCACCGCAGACAGAAGATGATAAACAGATTTCAATGCAACTTTGCTGTCCTTTATATATATGGAACAAGTGATGAACTTATTCAGTAAACACATGCTACTTCATATGCTTCCTGTACAGATGTAATTCTTTCCATTCTTACTAATGAAATGCAGCAATTGACAAGAACATAAATGTAGACACTTGCAGCACATCCAGCTATAGTGAAGTCTTGATTAATCAAACGAGGTGACACATTTTCAGTGTTTTACCATCTAGTGGCAATTTTATTTCACAAACCTCAGCTGTAGCAATCAATATCTTTCTGTTTAGCAATGAAGCTAAAGATGGCTGTCAGTTGTTATAAGTAAGTTGCTTCAGTTGCCAAATAGCAGTCCTTGTGCTCCCAAATTAAAATGGCATAATCTGATGTAAGGTGTCGCTTCTTGTCATTGATATGATATGACTGTCTGAGCAACTTGAACATTAGTTGCTAGTTTATGACCACATTTTGCTCAATTTACATAAATTTTTCTCTTGAAGTATTTTTGTGCATCTATGAAACAGTTTCGCATGACTTGCGTAGCAATTCAGCATTTACTGATACTGAACACTGTGAGCAGCGACAATTTGTCCATGGTCAAACTTGCTTAAGATTCCTGCCTTTAGCCGTGACACAATTTTTAACATGTTTATTGAAGCTCTGATATTTATACTTCGTGGCACTGACGACCATAACAGCTCACAAGTAATTGGCTCTCATTGTACTCATTTACAAAGTTGCATACCTGGTGTTTATAATAATTTCTCTTTTCAGTGTATAATCTTTTTTATTATTTTTTATTATAGTGTCTATGAGAAATTATTAAATTATTAAAATAATGAACTTGTTTAGTTGCTTTTTGAGATGATCTTGCATCAGTTTTTGTTTTTAAATATTTGAAATTTAATGCATGCATCTCATTTTGATAAATTTATTGATTTAATTAATATCTAGAATTTTTTCATTTGTTTCCTTTCATGGAATGCTGAGGTACTAGGTTTTGGTAACTGAAAGCTATCAAATATATTTTTAAATTTCATAATGTTGCTTTTCTATTGAAAATTTATGAGCAAAATATGTAGTTTTTTATTTTCCTCATCCCCAAACAACAATTCTCTATTTTCAGATATTGAGATCCAATTTCTTAAACATTTTAAAAATTTAATTTCATGAGCATCACTATCTTATATTCATAATTTAATGAATGCTTTTAAAGAGTAGTAAAATTTTCCTGTTATTCTGTTATAAAGAAATATCTGGAATAAAAAGTTTAAGGATTTCCATTGATATGTACATTTTATTTATATTTAATAATATTTAGTGAATGAATTGGCAAATACTGAATATGAACACCTGCAATTTAACAATAATGTTCTTGATTGTGATATAAAATGACATGTGCAAAATGGTGAAATAAACATTAGAGCACTATCAGTTTCCACTTTGTAGATTCCTATAATTTCAAATTCATGTTACAGCGATTGGACAAAAAGATACAATTGTTTTCAGCAGTGTTAAATGAAATTTTCCTTTGAAATCTGAAACTAATCTGGTAAAATATGTTTTGTGTTTGTCTTTACTTTTTATATTTATTCTGGATTTAATGAAATAGCTTGTCATGAAGCTTTACTTATTATTGGAGTTGCCACCATCGTCTGGTTGGATTTCATTCCAGCATTTATGGTTGGTGCTAAGTGGCTCCATTAAGAGAGGTGTATTCTTTGTCCCTCCCCTCCTAAAATCTTGCAAGTTTATTAAGTAGTAGTACTTTTTAAGCAGAATACATAATGTGTATTGTAAAAATAATGCAAGGTATCAAAATTTCTGTGTTTTATGGAATCTAATTTTAAGTATAATTCATAATATCCGAACTAGTATCAAATTTATGATTTTTCATGCACACTACTCAAATGATGATAAAATATTTTACTATTCAAAGCATTTGTGAAGGGGGAGGAAAAAAATCACTCTTCCCCCTAGCAACATTATATTTGTTTATTTAAGTAACTCCCAGCAATGTAACTGCTTAGATATTTCTCATGAGTTACTTCAAATGGCTTTGCCCTCATAAATATTGAAATAGGGCTTTGGAGAAACAAATTTTATGCAATTTTTGAATTTGTGTGATGTTTTTTTGAATAAATTTGTACTTCAAATAGCACACACAGCTTTGTATGTAGCTCATTTTTACTTTTAAAAAGAAAAGGATTTGTGTCAATATGTAATAGTTTATAAACATCACAGTAACTGAAAAATGTTATTTTAAATTTGAGCTGTTTCTTATTTTCAATGTAGGTGCTGTACTGCAAGAAGCATATCAATTGTTAGATACTATTTTGATGGAAAATTTGATATATTGTTATTCATGGGGTCAACAAGCTCACTTAGCAGCGATCGTTGAAGGTGGCAAGCAGTTACTGTGAGTATTTGAAAAAAAATATATTGTAAAGAAAAAATCTATTCTTTCCAGGTTTCGGTTCCTGTGTTTTAGCATTATAAGTAGTTTATCAAGATATCCAAGCATTTTCGGATGAAACATGTAAAAAAAGGCAGTAGGGGGAAATTTGTTGAGGGGAGTGGGAAACAAAATCAAATTAAGTAATAAGTAAAATGATATATGTGCCAAACTAAACCAGCAGTGATAGGAAAAAAGTAAAGTTGAACCGTTATGGCTAACAAAGCTTCCTGTTTTATAGAATTCTTATTATATTCATAATTTAGAAATCAGCCTATTTTTTTTTTTTTTTTTTAATTTTTAAATTATATGTGCCAATTCAGGGCCAATTAAGCTGCTTTCCCCTCGCGAAAAAGAAAAGAATTCCTCCCCAAACCCCATTGAGGTTTGTGTAGATTTTGGGCTTTAATTTAAAACTTATTTGAATTTGAAACCTTAACATTAAATACTTATGGAAAAAACAGCTAGGCTCTTTCTCTAGCTGTTTTTTCCATAAGTATTTAATGGCTTATGGAAAAAAGTAAACAGAATTAAGTATTTAACGACTTAATCTTACTTTAAAAAAAATGTATATGCTGCTAACACTTTATCATAATCGTTATTATTATAAAAATTCTGTATAGCTGTAAAGCCTTAGTTTTTATTTATTTTTTCTGAATTTTTTTATTATTCTTTTGATATTACTGTACAGTATTAGAATTTATTTGTTCACTGTTATATCCAGGCTTACCATTGCATAAATGGATAATATTAATTTAGATTTAATATGATTTGGATAGGTACCATATTTGACGTCACGTAAGACACACTTTTTTTCCTAAATTTGGTCTAAAAAAAAGTTACATGCGTCTTATACGTGAAGGACACAGGTTAACTTTCAATACTGAATGTTATTTTAGCCCGGATAAAGGTCTAGACACACATAACTTTTTCTACATCTACGTGTGAGTGGCTTTCTAAATAAGGGTGCATCTTATATGCCAGTGCATCTTATATGCTGTCAAATACGGTATGTATTGGTCACATAAATTTATTTATTTATTTTTCTTTATATTTATAATATGAAAATAAGCCGCTTTCATTTACCAAGTCTTTGATATTGGCAGAGAATTTCAATACTACTTTCCTTTAAAGATTTTTTAGAATTTACGAAAAATCCAATCTTTAATTAGAGGAAAGTTTCATTAATTATTGATTGTATGTCATAAATTTTATTTATATTAGATATTTTTATTAATTGTTGAAACAGTTTTTCTTACATTAAGGTAGTTTTGAATTATATAAAATCTTTTAATTCTTTGATTTTGTAAAAATGCATTGCTCGTCAACATAAAAGAGTTAAATCATTTAAAAAATTATTTTAGCTGTACTTTTTAATATGTACATTTTGTATGCTGTACATTTTGGTACAAAAGTAATGTGGTAAATAAAAGTAACTATAAGTTTCAAATATTCTAATAACGTATAGCATATACAGAATTTTAGGACTGATTTCTCCCTCCTTTTTTTAACAAATGACCACAATTTTTCCAAATGGTTTCAATTGATAGCATTTTTACTATGGCATCTCAACTTGCTTTTCCTAAAATATCATCTGTTTACAGGTAATATTTTCTGGGCAATTAGTTGTTTGCTTCGATCCAGTGAATGTCTGCTGTCGTGGATTTGAAAGCTGAGCAAATGTATTTATCCAAATGGCAGACATTAATCCTGATATTTTTTTAAACAAATTGTGACTGCAGATTAAATATGGTTCTTTGTTGAACATCCTCGTACAAAAGTGAAATTATCTGCTTGGGTTGGAGAAGGTTCACCACAGCTACAGAAAATTTGGTTTGAGAAATCTCAATAACCCTTATTTTGGTTATGAAGGAATAATTCATAAGGAATTTTTCATGAGGGGCAAATGATGAATTTTATATTTGTTACAAACTTCTAGAGAGAATTCAAAGTGTTAGGTTAGTAAAAGCGAATTGAGTAAATGGTTTTTGCTGTCATGCTATTCTATTCTTCAGGCAATTTTTAGCAAAGAAAAATATCACTATTCTCAGGTATTCTACTTTTTTTGTTAGATTTAGTACCTGCAGACTATTTTTTTAAGTGAGATCTCACTTCAAAGTTAATTATTTTTAACTTAAAAATTAATTATTTGAAGGGATTCAGAAAACAGTAACTAGAGACCTAAACAGTATTTAAAAAAGATTATTTTCTGTGAAAGAATCAGAGCTGTATGAATGTGCTGAGCATGCCAGTTTAACTATTGAAGAAATGATGTGAGAATATCGTTTTCTTCAACTTCCAATTTTGCTATATTGTCAGCCTTTTCCAAAATAAAATGAAATAGTGGTGATGAAATTTTGTTGTAATGCTAGATCTTATATGTGAATGTGTGTATTCGTTTCTGTAGCCAGCCATTCATTCAAATGCTAGTGTACTTCTTAGCTATTTTTCCTGTTGTACCATTTTACTTTCAAAAATGAATTACAAGTGCTAATATCACAGATTTAAAATTGAATTTTTGTTTGAGTAGAGTTTTTATACCAGCAAGAAATATTTAGACATACATGTTGATAACAGTATGTTTTATTGTTGTTTAAGAAGAGAAATGAAATATTTGGAAAATTGTCTTTTTATTTTTTTCCCTTTAGATCTAAGAAATGCTCTTTGAGTTTAACAGATTTTATTTCCTTTAGATTTGAGGAATGTTCTGAATTGTTTTCATGTAAATTAATAATCCTCTTGTGTTTGTGTATCCATTTGGCTTATAAATTGTTTTATAGAGAACACTTAACTAGTGCAGAATGGGAGAAATGTGTATTAGATGTAAAACTGAATTAAAGTGATTCTTTTAATTCAGTTCGTCATTTTGTTTGAAATGTGATATCTGCAACAAATTTTTATTTTTTCTGCAGGAAGTGTGAACAGAGTTTGGATACCTTTTTTGGTTTGTTGCACACTTTATGCTATTATCCACCTAATGTAAAACTATGTGGTAAGTTTAGTATTTTTATAATTGATTGTATATAGTTTTTTATTTTATCCTGAAGTAATTTGTCATGAAAATTAAAATGTTAATTGTCATTTTTCTTTAGTACTAATGATTACTTGTCTCCATTATTAAGCAAATTCCATTGCAGTAAATTTGCCTTTTTTTAAATTAAAATTCCTGCATTTTATTAATTATATTATAAAGCATATTTTACCTTGTAAAATTGTGAAAAAATTAACATTGGAAAATTAAAAGTATTACCTGCAATATTGAGGTTTCTTCCATTTTAAAATATTTTGTACTTTAATTTTCAAATTTCATTTAAAAATTGTACTTTTTTATATTAATGCAGTATTGCTTTATCTATGAAGATTTTTCATCTGACATTTCGAAAATTGCTATTTTATTATCTCTAAGTAATATATTTTCTATTATATGATCTCTACAACTGCTATTACAAATGCTTCCATGCATACTACTACCACTTAGAGACAGAAATCAGGACAGTCAAGAAAAATATAAACTTTTTTCAGAAAAGTCAGGAAAAGAAATTATACCAAAAGAAGTGAAGGACGTGTTTTAAAAAATACATGCAGACCAGTCTTCACAAATAATAACAAGTTTGTGTGTTAGATAAAGTTCTTCCCATATGAAAGAGAAAGCAAATGCTAATTTTATATATTTTCCCTACAAAATATTTAACTTAATTCTAACATGTAACAATTGTACAATTTAAAATATATAAGCCATTAAAAAATATGTAACTATTATGTTAGCCCTCTGTTTAAATGTAATCACTCTTCCAAAATAAGTAATATAATTTAAAAGTCACTACACTGTGTAGTATATGCAATGATAAATGACTATGTATAAACACTGTTTTCAGTGTGGTGCAATTCCTAACTCTTCAGTTTTAGTATGGTATGTTATAAGAGTATTACTTGTTATGAATGATATACTGTTAAAATTGTCTTTTGAAAAATGAGCAGTTTTTTCCCCCAGATTTAATATTTCAGTTTAAAAACCTTACCTATTTTCTTTAATGGTGCATGGGTAGAGCCCATATATCTGTATGTTTCCTGCATAAATTTCTTTCATCTGGTTTACCGTAATGAGTAAGCTAAATTAAATTTTTGTAATGTTCTCATTTATTTCATTCTATTTTATGTTAAGTTGCATATAGTATTAGTTACTCACATTTAATATTATTAGTAGTTTTTCACTTTTTCATAGAAAACCAGAGAAATTAAAAGTTGAATTTCAGTGGGAATCCTTCAATATCATGAAAAAATATCATAGACATTATCTTTTCCAGAATTCGCAAAATCCTGCCACACTTTATGAATCTTGTGCAAAAAATATTTTGTAATAGTTAGAGTGCTTTATGTTATAAATAATGTTGTTTTTGCAAATGGTTTGCATTTTAATAAATATTCAGCACAGATTATATTATCATATAAATATATTTACTGAACATACAGATTGCATATGTATGTTTTCCATGTGTAATAAAATATTGTTTTTATTTTTCATTTCTTTTCATAAAAATAAACTTCCTTTTAAAGGTAGGAGAATTGTATAAACTTTTAGATCAAAAGATTTTAAGAAAGGCATTAATTCCTTGTTGAATTGTGATAAAACGAGAATTTCTATACCAGCTATGTGACACATTTTATGTGCATAAAAATGCTGTTTAATAACTTTTTGAATTATTTTTTAGTTATTCATTCAAACCTTTTCATTCTTAATTTCTTATAAGTTTTTGAATCACTTTTCATCTGTTATTCATTTTATATTTCCAGCCATAAATTTTTTAATAAATAATTTTTTTTAGCTAAACATTTTAAAGAATTGAATCGACTGTTTTTTGCTTTCTTCCTGAACCTTGGAGATGAAGAAGCTTTACCTGATGTTTCAAGACTAACTATTATAACTCTTACTTTTGAAATTTATGGTAGATTATTGCAGTGTCCAGGATTGGATCGTGAAATGATATCAACAGGTGAGTAAAAGCAATATATTTCATTAAACATTATATTTACCCACAGAATTTGTTTTTAATCTTCATTGATTTCACCATTTTTCTTATTAAATTAATTCATTTTTAAATTGTATTTTGAGTATAATATTCTGATTAATTAATAATTTGATTTTTTATGCATTTCTTTTTTTTAAATTTATTATTGCTAGAAATTTTGTAAATTTTTTAACAATTTTTTTAAAAGGCTGTTTTGTTTATTTAATGAATTTTTAGATATTGACGTCTTAAAAGCAATTCATAAAGTTTCTTGTCACGTAAACAGTCTAATTTCTGATGTCAAAAGGGAAAATGTAAAGGTTATGACCTTTATGGATGAAGAAGATGAAGCAGGACCTCGAATATTAAGAAGAACAGAAGATAGAAATGGTAGAACTTATATAACAATGATGACAGAAGAGAATTTCAATTGTTGGATGGTACTTGCTCGAAAAATTAACCACGCAGCTACTTGCTTGTCTCAATATATTGAAAAGGTTTGAATTTTTTTTTTAATGTTACTTTTTAATTTCATACTAGTACTATGTGTATTAAAAGAAATATATCACATAAACCCTTTCGAGCTTGCATACCTTTGTTTAAGACATTCCCTGGAGACAGATGGGAGACAGAAAGGAGTCATTCCACGGGACAGGTTTTGCGTCACTAACTTAAGAGGGGAAAAGTTTAGATCATAACATCATAATTTTTGATACTATTTAGATTATTACTTAAGCTATCATATATGTTAAAATTAGGGTTTAATAATCTTTTTCCTTTACATGAAAATATATGTAAAAGAAACTGCTTACTTTGAGAAATGATTTTTGGAAATGGTATTCAGATTATTCCGAAGTTTTAAATTAAAATAGATTTTAAAAAATACAAGAAAGACCATTTAAAAGAAGTAAAAAAAAGTATTTCATGGGAAGGGGAAGGCAGGCACTTGATGAGCTCTGTCTCTGACAAAATATCCATATCAGAATCACTAGAAATATTGCTCTCTTAACTCTTTAAAATATGAATCATTACTCTTATTTATGTCATTATTGGCTCATTTACTATGTGAGTATATCCTTCTTCTGATAAATGTTTGCTCATCATAAAACTAAAAGTGGAGGCTTTCCAAAATAAAAAGGTACAGTGTCATAAGTGCACGAAATATAAGCAATGCAAAGCATAACACAACCCTACAAAAGACCCTACCCTAGTGGGAAAAAAATTAAAAGAATAAAGGAACCTGAATGTTTATATCACATGGTGAGTTAAAGAGTGGAGTTCTGTTTGTCTACATTATGCTTTCCTTCCTCCCTGCAACAACTGACACCGATATTAGGCAGAATGGGATTAAACTTAAGGTCAGGATCTTAAAGTATATTAAGTTCATAAGTAATGGACACCAGACATCATCTAATGGTCTTTAAAAAATGTTTCAGCTTAAAATATGCATATGCATCTCCCATCCCTTATGCATGTTCTCCAGTGATGCATGGGTAGGAGGCTTGGCTGTGAGAGGTATTCATAGGCAATGCAAATATGGAATGCCCATCTGGAAAGGGTTAAGAATTGAAAGAGCTTTGTATTTATATAACTCTGCATGGAATCTTATCAAATAATAGGCATTCAATTTTTATAAAACTGAACTATTAATTTTTATAGCAGTTAATACAGGACTGTGTATCTGCTAATTCAGTGTCTGTAGTTTATCATTCTGAAAAAAAAAAAAAAAAAAAAGTTATGCAAATTAAACTCTTTTTAAATTACAAAGTGAACATTAATTAAAAATGGGTCACAATAAGGTGAGGTTCTGCAGCCTGAACAAAAGTAGAACAGATTTTACAGAACAGAATTACAGATATGATTATGAGCCTAAATGCATAATTTGGACTAGTATTTTGTTGCTTACAATTCTTAATAAAAGAGCACTCCCATGGCACCCTTTGAAATTATAAATGATACTGTACATGTAGCATGTTCAGTATAACTGTACATAACATATAACATAACAATGTTTTTTATTTGTGTTGATAACTGAAAGTACTGGAGGATGTTAGACATTATCGTTGAAAAAAGCAGCTAAAAAATATTGTCATAAAAAATATCAGAGTAAAAATAAAATGCCTACAAATCATGCACAGCAGTAATGCCAAAGACATGTTTTTGAGACCTTAAAAACTGTAAATGTATATTTGCATAATGATTTATGAGCACAAGAAGGAGTGAGGAATATTTTTACTTCCATATTTCATTTTTTTTTTTTTTTTTTTTTTTTAATTCTAATGCATTTTTGCAACAAAAGAAGGAGACTTTACACTAATTTGCTACTCATTTTCAGTTTTTGAAAACTATGTACAGCAGTTAATAGAATTTTAAACTTATATATAATTGTTCGAGGTCATTATTTAATTAACTTCTTTTATAAAACTGTAGTGGTAGTTTTGCATGAAAAATATAGTCTAGACAAGATTAGAAAAGGAAAGTTGTGTAACTGCATGACGTTACCTATATTAAAATTGTTTAATTAACTATCAAATTGCAAAATTATTTTGTTTCACTTTGTTAATCTGTAAAAAGTATATCTTCTTTTGTTTCAGTTTATTACATCTTAAAGAACCTATAAATGAGAATGACACCTTAAAGTGTCATTCTCATTTATAGGGTACAGAGTACAATTAATTTTTTGGATGTTGATTCATTAGTTATTTTGAAACATGTCTACATAATATTTAAGTAGGGTTACATATTTAGGTTATTTACATATTCAGTACTACTCAGAAAGTAGTGTCAACAGATACATTAAGATGATGAATAAATTGAAACAAAACAAGAATGGATTTTTAATAAAAGATATTAGATTAACAAACATGTGAAAGAAAATAATTTTACAATTTGATATTTAATTACATGGTTTTAATATAGGCAACCTTGTGGAATTAGCTTTCCTTTTGTAATCTTTTTAGACTATCATGCAAAACTACCAATACACTTTTATAAAAAGAGAATATTATTTACCACTTTTAAAGCCTGAAAAACATGTGTCTGCGATGTTATCATTATGTGATAATTTGTAGGTGCTTTATTTTTTACGATGATATTTTATATGATAAACAACATTTTTGAATTGCTTTATTTTTCATTGATGATATTTTGTATCATGATACTGTGATGATATCATTTAGAACAGAGGTGTGGTGTTTTCTCCTTGCATTGTGTTCTTTGTGACATTTTCATGCACAATGTTTTTGCCATAATATTTTCAGCACCCTTTTTCACCCTGGGGGCACATAAAATATTGTTGAGCTAAAGGTCTTCTCAAGGGGCTTGGTGCTAGGGAATGAGGGGCAGGGAAATCTGTTATCTGGAGTGTTCCACATCAAAGTTAGAATGGCACCTTCCCCTTTTCAGGGATGTATAATCAATTGCCTTTTGTGGTGCATCTTGCACAGTGTCCTTGATAATGAGGCAGCTAAATGACTAATTGTTCAACCTATGCTAATAAATGTTTAACTAGCACAATTTCTGGCAGTTCAGAAGTGGAAATTTATCAACTATATTATTTTTAAGCATGTTGCATGAATATCACTTTATTGCATTTGATATTACACACAGTTTTGAAGTATCTTGTAAATCTTGGAATGTATCATCTATAGTTATAGATGCATGACTCTAATTGAAAAGTTACTGTAGCATTTTTGGCAGTATACCTATATTTTATATTTAAGAATTTAGTTGCCTAAAATTTTACATAATGCACTAATCACTGACATGCTGCATCTTAAGAATGTATAATGAATTGAATGATGTGAGTAATGCTCATTAAAAGCACAGTGCAGTCGAGTGAATAAATATTTTTCAAATATTTTAATAAAAAAGCTTAGCTGAAGTGATTGAATGTTTTTTCAAGTATTTAAATAAGTATTCTTTGAATGTACTGAATTTCAATCATTTTTGTTTTGTTTTAAATATGAAATTGCAGTTTATATGTATTTTCAATAAAGTAAAGAGTTCCCCCCTGTAAGGTATTTGAAAATATTGTGTAATTTATAAATTATTTAAATAATATCTTAAGTAATGAAGTTAGAAAATCTGATCTGTTACAATAGAAGTCTCTAGTGCAGTTACTTGTACCTCATACAGACAATCCTGACCACTGAAATTGCAACAGGAAACATGCATGTAATCTCCTGAAATTTGTAGCCCAGGTCTCTAATGCAGGTCCTATGAGTTCTCAAGATCAAGTTAGTATGCAGTTTTTATCACAATTCCCATTCATCATAAAAGTCTAGGTACATTGTCATCACTTAATCAAAACTGTATTGTTTTCCCAAAGTTCTTTGAGCCAGTTTACTGGTTGGGATTGATTAGCTGATCTAAGCTCAAGAAGATAGAATGATTTCCATCTTTTCCATACTCAATTAATTAAATCTTTTTGGTAGCTTCCCATTTTCAGACATTTAAGATAAAAACCTTGTCCAAATTTAAATAAGTTTAATAACGTATACAGAGTTGCCAACTCTCCCGATTTAGGCGGGAGACTCCCGATTTTCGACCGCTCTCCCGCCAACCCGATTTACAATATATTTCTCCCGACTTTTTCTTTCTTAATTTCTCCACATTTAATGGAACTTGGCTTCATACTTCGTTATTGAACAAAAAAAAAAAAAAAAGTGATTTGGATGTTGAAAGCAAAGAATTTTCTCTAGATTATATCTAAAATAAAACCTTGCGAATCAGGTGAGAATTTCTGCTTTGTGAGTGACAGCATACGTATCCAGAAACGTCGTTATCCAGTTCTCCAATGGGCATCGAGCTCCACTGCGTATCATCTGGCATATATTCGCCAATGAGCACAAAGCAAGCTCAAGGCCATTGCAAAGAAAATTCTTTGGCCGTTGGGCCGTTATTTCGATGTTCTTTCGTTATTTCGTTCATCTTGTCCTGAGTTGTGTGAGTGCACGTGCCTTTGGGAGAGAGTTTTAGAAATTATCGTCTTTTGTTGTGTCTGCGAGAAAGGTGAAATACTCGTGCACGTTTCAAAAATCGTACATAGTTGACTTTCCTTCCATTATTCTTCAAGAAATGTAATAAATTTGCGATGTGTACCATCTGCCGTTGCGATTTTTCGATTCGCATGGTGGAAGGGCAGATGTTCTCAAACATGTGCGTACACAAAAACCACAAGGACAACATGAGTTGTTTTGAAAAAAAAACGAAAATTAAATTTTTCTTCAGAAACAAAAGACCAAAAGTGATTAATGCAGAGTGTTCTATGCCTTTTTACTGAGCACAACCTGCCACTGATGCATCGGATCACGCTGCAGCTTTATTAGAAAATGTTCCGATAGTGAAATCGCTAAAATACTCAAGTGCAAGGACCAAAACAGGTGCAATTGTTAAAGAAATGGGTTTGAAAAATAAATCTTCAGTATTGATTGCATTAAAACAGCTCCGTTCTGCTCTCTACGAATGGAAGCAATAATACCAATTCAAAACTGTATCCATTGTTGTTTCTTTTTTAATCCAGTCTTCAGAAATTGAGTGCAGTTTACTTTCTCTCCCCACTTTAGAAGGAATTCGACAGGCTTTAATATACCACAACTAATTATTAAAATTTCAAAAGAAATGCATCCATCTGGATAATTGCTTAGCACTGGTGCCGATAAGCACCAGTAATGGTAGGCTTGAAGACTGGTGTTGCAGGCATCTTAAGAAAGGCAAATTCAGATTTGAGATTATGAGGTGCACCTGTCACCTCTTAAATTTAGCAGCTGAAAAGGGGGGCAGCTCTCTTTACCATTAATGTGGATGAATACATTGTTGATATTTATTATTATCTTGAAAGGAGTTCTAAAAGATAGGAAAAAATTGAAACAGTTCCAACAGCTGCATAATACTGAAATAAGAAAATTTTGAAACGTGTGTACACACTGGTCTTTAAAGAAATGCTTATCTAGAATCTCGATCAATGGAACCCACTTCTTGCATTTTTTAAAGAAGAAGTAAATGCTTTGAGAGTTAGATAAAGGCTCTATTGAAAGTTATAAAAGCACTAAAAGTAATGGAGATGTAAGTACTACTTCTATTGAAAATAGGTTTGGAAAAATAAAGTAAAGTTCTGCATCATTCAGCAATGCACTGGCAGTTCTCAAAATAGTACTGCAAAATATAGCGTAAAGCTGATACAAACTCTCAAAATAAAAAAAATTGCTCGCTCACGAAACATTTCGATTATTGTAAGTTTATCTTGTGAAGAACGAATATTTATGTTTTTTTTCTTCGGACCTTAACAAGCTTTTGCTTTTTTTTCTACAATTCATTTTGCCATCATTCGATGTTCTTAACGCAATTCTACAAAGCAGAATTCCATTAATTCATGTTTTGCAATCAATGATTATGATCTGTTAAAGACATTTTATCAAAGTTTGTAAACCAGTCTGGTTTGGTCTTGTAATTCTATATATGATTTGATTTATGGTGAAACAAAATCAGAAGAAAGAGAAGATTGGATAGGAGCTGCAACTACAAAGTAGGAAGAACTTCAGCAGAAGACAAAATAAGTTTTATCTTAATGGTTACTTCTGTCGAGTATTTGATTAATACTACATAAATTCCAGTCAACGATGAAGTGATTTGCATGCTAAGTTGCTGATGTTTCTGCTCTAGCAAATGCATCTTTTTCTGATATAAGTACTTTTGAACAGATTTACTGTTGTTACTTCGTTTAGTCATGAAAGATGACGATATTTATGTTGCCACTAATATACTGCAGTCGCAATTTTGCAGTTTACAATTAGAAGACTTGGATGAAGTTATAAATCAGCTAGGATTGACACTCAGTGGAATTTAATTGTAAAATTGAAAGGTGCTGATGGAATTTTAAAATATAGTGAACTCTCTAGAATTATGTTGGCCATCTTCAGACAGTTCCCCATAGTAATGCGGAGTGTGAGAGGAGTTTTAGTGTTGTTGCGAAAACGAGTACTAAATTTAGATCTAGTATTAGTGATGACACATTAGAAAAACTTTTATTAGCGAAAGCAGGCCTACTTGGCAATTGCTATGAAAAAATTATAAGTTCCTTTCTTAACGAAAGCAAAATCGCCACTGTCCAAACATTTATATGAAACTGATTAAAGTGTCATTTTTTTTTTTTTTTTTTTAACGATGCAAGTAATAAAAATGTTTTTATGTCTAAGGTATTTTTGTTTTGCTTGCATTAAGACTTAGTAACTATTTAAGTTAATTCATTATTAAAAACTATATTTTTATCATTTAAAAAGTATTTTAACATTGTGAAAAATCTCCTGATTTCTTAAAAAAATCTCCTGATTTTTGAGTGTCATAGGTTGGCAAGTATGCGTATAATATAGAAAATTAATAAAGTAAATAGTCAAGGATTTTGAAACAAAATTTTGAATTATAGCAGAATTAAAAGTTCTTAATACGTTAAATTTTATCTGAAATCTATGAAAAGAAGTGATGTAAAGCATCATTGATGAAAAGTTAGAATTTTATTGCAGAAAATAGTTAATCTAATTAATTAGTTTTCATAGATAATTTCATAAAAGGTATCATTTACAGACTAATAAGATCTCATATTATTGGATTGTCAATATCAGTTCATAGATCTTCACTATACACTGCAGTAATAATAAACTGAGCAGTGCATTTTGTATTCATTAGAGAAGGAGTACATCAAATCATGTCTGAATGCTTTGTGGCCCATAAACTGTAAAGAAATATAACAATGGAAAACACTTTGCAAAAAATTGTCAGAGGGATTTGGAGTATAAGATTTAATATACTAAAACCTTTTCTTCTTATAAGGATTCTGTTAGATTTTATATAACTTTCTTATGAAATTTTCATATTTATGTGAATCTATAATTTTAGTGTTTTATTGCTTATGTGTATATTTTAGTTTCCTAATTTAATACATAAGCTCTTGATTTATCACTACTTCGGGAATATTTATTATATTCAGATTTGACTGCATTTTAACTTTTAATGAGCTTAAAAATTTAGAGTGTTGATTCCTGTCTCTATCCATATCTGCGTTTTTTATTAAATTGAAGATGTACATTTTTATTTATAGGATGATGAGAAGGAAGTACTTGATGATATTTTTGCTTCAAAAGTGCCTGAAGAAAATATTGGCATTCTTATTATATGAACTTGGAGATGTGTTTTGTAAGTCATAAAAATATACTAATGTAAAAAATATATTGATATATATATATGTATTTATTTCCTCACTCATATTCATTGTCATTTGTGTAAATAAAAATAAATATTTCATAGCAGTAATTCAGTTTTTTTAATTCAAATTCAAATAACAGTGAACTTCTCATAAAAACAGACCATCTCTGAAAAGTGACCAATATTTCGTAAAAGGAGAGAAATCAGTATTGAACACCTTAAAAAGCTGGTGACTCTCTACTGAAATTAAATCACTAATTAAAGATGTAATCTTCATAGAAAACCAAAATTTTATAGAATCAAGTTGTCGTCATAATTAGATTTTATTACAGAGCAAAACTCTGGTTCCAAATTTAATTTGTTCCTGAAGGTCATTTGTCATTTGAAATGCTTGTGAACGGAAATTATTTCTTCCATAGGAATTAATCTAAAACAGATTATTTTGTTTCTCTACCATGAAAATCATAAAATCTAAGATTTTTAAATTTTGCATTTGTTTAGTATTAATTTAAAGAGCTAAAGCAAACTAAATTTAATTTTGCCATACTCGTATGAAAGAAAGTGGACAGGATAAGTAGAAAATAATAAGGAAGAGATGTTATTGTTTGGATGAGGAATCTCCTCCATAAAAGCAATACGTAACTGTCTTTTTGGGGATATTCTTTTCCTTTTGTCTCTTAATGCCAGTCAGTTCTACTTGAAACTCTCATGGCATTCATTGCACTCAAAATGTGTCCATTGTGATTTGGTATTTTCTACATTTTAAAATGTGTCTAAAGGGAGAGATATATGATCCAAAAAAAAAATGCTTATTCTATCGCTTATTACTGCTTCAACTACTTTGTCAGAGTGTTTATCTTCCTCCTTCCTGTAGAAACTCTTCCTGTCTGTATAGTGACATCACAATAACTAGCCCATCAGTAGGGCTTGCCCTCTGAGCACCCTGTGGCACAGAACCGACATATTCCAACCACTCACTATAAAACTACACAAGACAACATCTGTTGTCTTGTGTAGTTTTATAAAAAAAAATTTAATTTAGAATGAAGCCATGGTATTTTATATGCCACTTTTCTGCTGTTTTCTCTTGCATACTGCCATAAATCGTCACATTATCACAGGTTACTTGCTTGGCACTTTTAGCTATTTAAAAGTTGTAGGGGGTTGTATTGGGTTATTTGGCACTTGGGGGCTATCTGTGTAAGGACTGAGATGGCTTCATGGAGCTTTTTTGAGAAAAAGTGGCTTGTATTCACATTCCCACAAAGGGGAAATTAAAAAAAAAATTCCCATGCAACTAGCTGTGAATTTATAAGATTCTCGAGTTGAACTACTACTGTTCAGTGATCTTACCATTTGGTAGCGAGTGAGTTATATGGTGTGTGAGGTATTTTCTACATCTGCCTTGGGTTTACCTTCATAAATGAAAAGTATTATGAGAGTTCTGTCTCTAGATACTATTAGTAATGATAGATATTAGCAGTTATAAGTAATGATAAACATTATTAGTAGATATTAGTAATGAATATGTCAAAAATAATATCAGGTTTTGGCATAGTGTTTCCAGAACAAATTATTATAATAAACTAATTGACAATTATAACATTTTGGTCATAGTGAATTAACTCCATTTCTTCACTTATTTGTGAAAATAAGCCCCTTAATGCTGCCATTATACATCAGCAAAATCCTGTAAAATTTAATTTTTAAAATACTTATATTTTTGGGGAGTGTTAAATTACCCATATCACTAATTACCTTCATTTGTTCCTTGTATTACCACCGATAAATTTCGCTACGATTCAGTTTCTGACATAGCATACTGCTATTTTATATTTTCAAGATTTTCTTATTATGTATTGTAAATATCTAGCAGTATTTCTTAGAATATATTCCTAAGACAAACTGTGTAGTGTCTAAGTAAAAATACTATCATAAGTTTCTGGGAAAATTAGAGTACATTTGATGATATGCTTGTTTTTGCGTATTATGATGTTTTTGTTAGTTTACTTATTTCATTTTAGGTAATAATTTTAGAGTATATTTTATGTAATTGAATCCATAGCCATATTTTGTATAAAGTGCTTATTTCTTTGTATAGTTTATGGTTTTAAATATAACATTGTCAGACAGAACCAGACATACAACAGACTCTCGTTTATCCGACGTAGTAGAGAAAAATCTGATATTGACACCGTGTGACTTCCTTGTATGGCTTATTAAATTATACACTATTTTTGCTGCACTTCTTTTAAACTTATTTCCTGGAATCCATCTAACTTAATTAGCCGATCTCTCAAGGCGCTTTGAAAATGACAATAAAAATTGCAAATTTTGAAATTAAATATCCCACTCAGTTTTTGTTACAAGTCAAATTTCTTCTGATTTTATTTTTTCATAACGTATATAAAACTTTCCCAGATATAAGTATAGGAATTGGGAGACTGCATTAGGTTTCGTTATTTGTTGAAATTTTTTTTCCCCCCTAATTTGGCACTGCCAAAACATGCACAGTTTCATCATTTAACTGCATTTCCAACTTCTGCAGTTGGAAATATATGACTATGACCAGTGATTTTGAGAATAAAGGTCTGGCAAAAACATAAAGTCGCATAAGGCAGTCCAATATATATATATATATATACAGTCAAAAGTCTTTAATCCGGACTCGTCGGGACTTCGGCGATTCCGGATTATCGATTTTTCCGGATTATAGATCATAAGTTTAAATCTGGTAAGATGGCATGGAGAAATTATAAATTAAAAATATGAAACCGTAATTTATAAAATAATGAGCAATTATGATCTAAAGGGTATCAAAATTTACCAAAAAATAGCCGAAATTAGAAAATTGCAACCAGAAAACTATTTGATTTGTATTCGTGATATTTATAATGACGAGGAATTTGATTTAAATCGTATAAAGACGGAGTACATCAAAATTAAATACTACATTTAGTAAGGAATTATAAGCCGAATAAAATAAAAACATCTGCCCTGAAGATAACGATAGTGTTGACAGATCAACTTCCAGTTCATTGCGCGCCGCGACGTCCCCCCCCCCCCGCGCAGAGCAGCGTGAAATTTGATAACAGATTTTGGAATGGTTAGATAACAAAGGATATGCTTTATCCATTTTTTGTAGCAATTCGTTTTTGTTTGATGGACATCGAAACATACTTTCGTTTTCTAGATCCTTTGGGAGCTCCAGCATCGGAAATTCTATTGACATAATCGAAAGTTCAAGCTTACTTTTAGAAAATTGCTCTTACAGTCTGCAAAAAATAATAAGCCGGATCCAATTCGAAGCTTAAGGAACAACGCAATTATCAACATTAACTGAAATAGATAATTAGATAATTTTAGCTTATACCGTTCGTTATACATTAAACGCGCACGCGAAAACGTATTCTGCACTTGCGCAGACGCATATGCGCAGTCGTAAATGTCTTGCGCGCACGAGTAAAACGCCTATGCGCATGCGTCAATGCGGCGCATGCGCAGAAAGATTTTAGCTTTGAGGTCCGGATTATAGATCATTCCGGATTACGGGTGTCCGAATTAACGACTTTTGACTGTATATGTTCTGCTGATTGCAATAAAAAAGCATGTGCACCACTAGGTGTTAGAGCAGTCGCATATAAAAAATTTACATGTTTTACGACTAATCATTTTTGAGATATGCGAGATACATACATGCAGACATCACAAAATTAATCCCTTTTGAATTTATTTTAAATCTGTGTTACAATCTGTTTTGGAAAAAAAAGACTCCTTTATTCTGTAGGTACATACATACGCCCCACCCCCAAAAAAATCATCTATATGCATCCGGGAACAATCAAAATGGATATTTCTGCTGAAATACCCAAAATTTATTGTTGCATTAGATTTTATTGCCATCCACAATGAGTGCATTTTGAGCTCAACAGCTTATCAGGGAATAGTTTTAAAACAGATTGCAAAGTTTTATCCATAGTGACAACAGCATAAGTGAGTTAAATAAAAGCTTATAAAAATGCGGCTAGTTAGAAAAATTACAGAAAGTCCCATAAAAAGAATATAATGTTACATACCACAATTAAAATTAAGAAAATCAACTTTTAAAATGAAATACTGAGAAAAATGTGCATAAACTTATTAAATGGAAACTTTCACAAGGAAGTAGAAAGTGTCAAACGGAATGCAGGTTGTGAACGTAGTCGTTGAAGTTGTTATTGCTCCTGACTCTATCCTGTAGTGCACCCATCTACATTATGTATCTGTCATTCATTGCAGTGTAGTTTATCATTGTCTGCGAATTGGTTTATGGTCTATTACTGTTCATGTGTATCTGTCTGCGTCTGTTGTGTTTAATTTAACGGTCATTGGTGGGGTGTTTGCAAGCTGAAATTGACATAAGTAAAGGAAGAATGATCATGAAAACGAAGAGAGTTAAATCGATCAAGGGAAAGACACTGCAGAAGAAGTGCGTGTGTGATTATGGCAAAGCCTCAAGGGCTATCTGCCAAAGGGAAGGATGCCTTTGGGGAGTACTTTCTAAGGGAACTGGCTCGTATACACACTACACATGGGAGAAACCACGAAAAAAACCCAAGCAGCCTGCCTGTTCACGGGATTCGAACCTCGGACCGAACTACCAGTGTTCAGCGACTTTACCGCTCAGCCGCTGGTGGGCCACTGCAAAAGATAACTGACGACTTTGGGGTTGGAAGGGAATAGGGAGACTGGAAAAGGAAACAAATAGTATTAGAAAATGCTGTGTATCAAAGAGATATGGAGTGTGCATTAAAATAAAGAAAAGCTTTAAAAAGATATTTTGAAAAACTGAGTGAAGCTTTGTGTGTTTAGTTTACATAGTTTGGGGGGACAAAGGTATGTGCCTATTTCAGGGCTTATTTTGCAGCAAAAGGCGTTGCATGCTTGTACTTATTTTAATGAAGCATACCCAGATTTCACTGTAAATGTTGGTTAGATTTACAGATGGAAGAACTACTGTGGTATTCAGAAGTTAAATGTTTGGCGTGAAAAACTCTCACCAAATTTTGAAGAAATGAGAAGGTCAAGAAAACATTTCAAAACAAATTCATTTGTCCCTAAGCCCCCCTCATCTTCTCAAGGCGAGATTGACAACTGAAAACTTCCACAGCACATATGTAACAAGCTTGGCCCCAGTTCCGTTGCTGGGTGTCAAGACGCATAATAATAAAAATTGAAACACTGGACTTTTTGAATCTGCGTCCCACGCAGTAAAGCAGTACTACACGTAGTAAAGAATGATTGAAATTTCCACTGCCACTGAGGTTCTGAATGCAAGATTTTTACTAGATATTTGTAATTAAGGCCTTTCTACGTTTACTGTAGTTAAGAAAGACGACATTTTTTTAGAGTGCAGTAATGGTACAGCAAACTTCAAAATGGATCTTGTAATGAATGGAAATGCAAAAATTTGAATCACTCATTGCTGACATTTTAAGTATTCAGTAATGGTACAGCAAACCTCAAAATGGGCCTTGTAATGAATGGAAAGTCCTCAAATCCTAAAGCTTTTAAAATAGTCTAAAAAAACGCGCTTCCTGTAAAGTATTAGTCAGAAAAGCACATGGATGAGCAGTGAAATTTTCAGAGACTGGTTTTCTGAGGAATTCATTCCTTCAGGAGAGAAGTTTTTGAAAGAAAATAGTTTATCCAGAAAAGCTGTTTTCGTGCTAGATAATGCTGCAACGTATCTTAGTGCAGAATTTCAAGATGGTGACATTAAGGCAATGTTTCTGCTCTTCCTTAATATAACAGCCGTATGCCAACCCATGGATCAGGGAGTTTTGAAAACGATAAAAAAAGAGTCATCGCAGAAAGTTACTGTTCGCATAATGATAGAAGAAATTGAAGAAGGGGGGAAAAAAAAGATTGAAAAGTTGAAACGCAGCACAGCAGATCCCCGGATGTTAAGATGCATTTTTGCAAGAAATTGGATAAAGGGTGATGATCAGAATGAAATAACTGATGAAAAAATTGTTTCTGTTGTCAACTGCTATGAGAACAAAATCGAAGATCAAAATCAAGCAGCAGTGGCTGAGCCTCAGAGAAATTCCAAATAACGGCGGAATTAAGACTCTAGAAATTGTAAATAAATATATTGAGCAGCAAGAAGCTACAAGAATTGACATAGTGATGCTGCGAAGGTGGGAAGGCTAAGTAGTGAAGAAACGGCGTTCGTCCAGACTATGGTAAAATATTCCTTTCAATCATTACAGGATTGAACTTTTGAAATACTGTATATAACTTCAGCCAATTCTGTGGCTGTAAGTTTTATTTTTCCAGTTCATTTTACCTCTTTTGTTGTAAAGATAATTATTAGGCTTGTAATATGTAAATATAACATAGTTTGAAGTTTAAAAGCTCTAACACCTCCCTGTTGTCTGATATTTTCGCTTATCTTGCGTTCTGTCGCCCGTTTATGTCGGATAAGCGAGACTGTACTGTATAGGCAAAAGCTCTCCTAGTGGGCTCAGCGAGAATTTTTATCATCAAGTTGGCAACATTTGACGATTTTGCACCATCTTGGCGATTTTATAGAAGCCTTGAGAAAACCCAATTTTGAAGTAATAGAAGCAGTTTGTTCCAATGCTTTCAGAAGGCTCAGTAAATCTATATATATGTGGCTATGTTTTAATTGTATAGAGAAAACTAGTTTTGAGTTACTTCAAAGTGTCATTCGAAAGCATAGCTGAGTTTATTCTGTGAGTGAAATGGGTATGATATTTCCTCGTGTTTTAGGAGGATTTACAGTATATCTTTTCTGTGTACCTTCATTTATTGCGGTAAATTCCCAGTTTCTTCCTGCTCTTTTGAAGCAATTATTTGAAGAGATCTACACAAACCAGTAATTCGCAATACTATTTTAAATTGCATGATTATCTACATTAGATTGTTCTCCACTCTCCTTTAGAATCAATGAAAAACTACTTTTATAACATTTAAATATTTATTAAATAAAACATTAAAATACTATAAATATTTTTATCCAGATGATGCATCTTAAAATGCTTACACATGATAAAATAATAATATTAAAACAAAAATGAAATATAGTATCTCGATCTTTGTAGGTACTGATGTAAAATGGAAAAAGCATACGTTCGATTAAAAGCAAATTATAGATTCAAGTAAAATAAATAAATAAAGATTAGTTAAAGACCATTATTTGTAAGTAAGCGATGTTTTCTTCAAGTTAAATAAATAAATAATATGTTGGATTTATAAAAAATTTTAATAATGAGAATTTTTTTAATTACGAAAATACAAAAATTACAATGTTAAAATTTATGATAAAATATGCTCGTAAGAGAAAAATTCAAACCAGAAGTAACTTTTTTTATTATAGACATATAATTAATAAAAAATATTCTTTTCTTTCTACAAAGATCGAGATTATTAGTATTATCAAATATAATTTTTATAATAGCAACTTCAAAGTTATTTCGAAGTTTCCAATTTGTTGCCACCAGTATACCTTTGTTTTCAAAATATGTAAAAACTGGAAATAAGATAAAAAGCTTGCATTATGCAGTTTGTGACTTCTTTCATTCTACTAATATCAAAGCGGGAAAGTTTATATATACTATAAAGCTTCCTATGATGTTAAAAAAATTTAGACGAATCTTGTTGAATTCTTTGGCAAGCGTGTAACGGAGTTGTTTTATTTCCTATTTCCTAAAAAGAAAAATATGTAAGATTTTCTTTTCCAAAACGATCAAATTGTATCAAGTTAATAATTAATCATTTATATTTAATTTTATAGCAAAATAAAAAAAAAAAAAAAAGTTTGAAAACGGCCACCCAAAATAGCTCTTTTAAGGTTCAATACTTTTTTTTATCAGTATTTATTATCAATAGAGAGGCCGCAGGTGGAATAGTAAAGTATTTTAAAGGATATTAGAGGCATATACATCTAAACCAACATAAGAACACTACATATCTTCTGTATTTGAAAAGCGAAAAAATGTGTAACGTAATTCTGTAAAAATATTTAATGTTTTTAATTAGGTACATTGGGAATTAAATGCATTTATATTTAAATTAATCAAATTAAAAAGTACAAAATTCATATTCATATTAAGAAATGCATCTGTTACTTTTAAAGGCCCATGGCTTTGCCCTGGATCCGAGAACTACGTAATGCCATCTTTCAACAAGACATGACCGCATGCTGTCAGTTCTGTCCTTACATTCCTCGACCTGCTTTATTAAATCACTGGTCAATAAACTCAGTCACTTACATTTCATTAAAATATCCCGAAACGAAAACAAATACACACTAATGACCGCTATTTATTAAACTCATCTCCGACGCTTATTAAATTAGCCAAAAATTGATTTTCAGTCCAGAATATCCTAATTTTACCTATCAAAGCTTTACATAGTTCATCCATTTAATGTATTGCGGATTGTGACTTTATCATTCGTATATGTAATTGTTTAGAGGCATTGTAAATGAGGGTTCCTTGTCGAATACCAACTGATAGGACGTGAAAGCGTAACTTCAATGTCCTATCTTTCAAGGTTTCCATTTTCAAAAATCTTCGGTTTGGAATATATATGTTATGTCTACAAAGACTTATGAAAAAGTGCATGAAATTCTTCTAAGCATTATCATAAATGAAGTATTTTTGAATGGAAAAGAAGGGGTAACTGTAGACTGAAGGAAAAGCAAGGAAAGCATTGGTCTTGCTTATAATCATGAAGTGGTAGATTGACTAAACAGACGAAAGGCAATCTTTATGTGTGTTAAAGTAAAAATAATAAATTTGAATAAATCATTGTGAGAAACATTTAAAAAAAATTGTGTCCTCAACTTGTCAAAATGCTAAGTAAAACGACTTAAACCTGAAAGAAAAGCATAAAAGATTTAATTGTGCTTGGCAATTGAACCCAAGGTGAAACCACATTTATACGGGGAATTTTCCAAACAGCATTATGCATCTTACTGAAATAAAGAATTATAATTAATGGAGAACTAATAAAAAATTCAAATGTGTTAAGGAAGCACAAAAGAGATAGAAAACTGACAGACAAAGGAATTGCTTTTCTAGAATGATTTCAAGCCATAAAGCTAACAAATGTTTCTATTTCTATAGCTATTTTAAATGTAAATATAATTAACTATAAATGACAGAAATATCAGTTAATCAGCCTTCACAAAATAGCTACCGTTTTCACCTAGTTATGTTTCTTCCGATAATTTTCTGCTTTAAAAATAACCCGATGATTTAAAGTAAAAACTTAAAACGGTATTCAAAATGCAATAAAATTAACGTAAAGAAAATGCTTCAGTAAATAAATGAAGTGGTCCATTTAATGATGACCCGTATTAAAAATTAAACACAAAATATTTAGTTAAAAGTGAGAGCGATATTACTTAAAATCCGGCGCCATAGAGTCCAAAAAAGAGCAGAATGAGTTAAAATTTAATAAAAATAAAAAAGGATGGGTAAGCGATTTGAATTTCGAAAACTAATTAGATGGGGCAGTATGAGATTTGAACTTCTTCCAAGTGTAGAAATAATGGAAGCATTATCTGAGGAAGGGAAGCTTAATGATGCTTACAGGGCAAATTTTAATTTGAAGTATTTAATTAGTCAAGTGCAGAACTCGATTTCAGACATTAGAATTTGAAGAAAAAACGCAGTATTCTCTCTACAAGTAGACAGTATGACTGTTTGTACAAAATTGAATGCAAATTGCATGTCCTTACGCAAAATGATCAGAAAATTGCCAGATTAAGAAACTGTAACGTTTAAAAAAGGTAGAAAATTTCAGTCAGCAAAGAAACAGGTTTACAAATGCAAAAAACATAAAGTGGCAGGTAAAATTTGTTTTCATATTAGTTGATATCTTAAGGGTTAGTAAATTAAAGAGCATTAATTTAATACTTACAAACTATATGCTTTATTTTATTTTTATTCATCATTTTCATTTTTGATCTGAATGCAAGCAAGTCAGTGAAGCTGGAACAAAATGAACCATTTCAGGAAATATGGTTCCAATAGGATATGTTATGCCCTAGAGAAACAAAGGCCACTGTACTAACTGTTATAAAATGTAAGTCATTTTAATACTGATATTATTGCCTGCATAATAATTATTTCAATTATATCACAATACGTTGTAAATATATAGAAATCTCCATAGTCCATTTCAGAATGTCTTGAAGATTTGAAGTATTAAAATTATTTAAAAAATATGAAGGCTATAAAATGCACTGCTCAAGTAAAAAATTTTTTTAAATACCACTTTGCTCCTGCTGCACGATAATATGAGGGTGACGAGTTTCTGTAATTTTTTATTTCTAATCTTCGGTAACTGTTTGGCAAGCAAACTTCTTCGGTAACTGTTTGGCAAGCAAAACATCTGTAACTCGGTTTGGTTAGAATTCTACATGTCCTTATAAGTATCCGGATGAAGAGTGCAGCAAATTTGTAAACAGAATTCGCGCTATTTCTATACATAACAAGGGCTTGTTTGGTGAACTTTGAGCTGGCTGTTCATGACATCATAGTTATCCTTAATAGTATTTATAAGTGATCAGGTAAAAGGATAAACTATTAAATGGAATTTATCAGCGGGCTTTTTAAATCATTATAATTCAGCTCTGCCCCTGTGACAAGGAGCATTGTCTTGCCGCAAGAGACTATTTTCAGTGCGGAAGACAAAAATTATGAAGAGTCAGCAATGATATTCACATAGTTACCACCTATCGTGCTGTCTCCTGCAACAATCACCTGTTGGAAGGACGTCATTCTCCCAAAACATTTCTCCACTAGCGGATGATCGCTTGGAATTCAGGATACCCTTACTTATCAATGGGATGTAAAAGAAGTTGTATTTCATCTGACCAAGCAATTATTTTTCATTATTGCATGGCTAAGCACACTGTAGTCGTAGAAATCGAAGATACTGGGTTAATAAAAGCCCAAGAGAAAGGTGTGTGCTGTTCCACGAGAACTATATTTAAAAAGTTCGACGAACCAGTGACATCTATAAGGAACTAAATTTAAGTCTTTACTAGTTGAACTCTTGTCCTTTAAGTGCTACATGGAAACTAACTGAGTTATCACTAGTAGCTTGACGTCTCCTGAAAACATACAGACCCAAGTATTCAAACTATTTCTACCTCACTATTTCTGAAGGTTAAATTAAAGAATTACAACGTAAAGTTCAGTCCCATGTATCTGGGAGGAACATAATATTGATATTAAAATATTTTCTAAGTACAATATTTATTTATTAAGAGATAGGTAAAAACGTACAAATTCACGGATCGGCTACTAACAACTACTCAAAATCTGAACTTAACAGTCAAGTATGTTTTGAGATTTCAGTCTTGAGTGAGGCAGCGGCTAATTGCCAAGTGACATGTTGAATGGCAAGCAGCCGCTATTAATCCAAACTATCATATGGTTACAACCCATTCCTCTAATTTTATTCTAAACGCTTGCCACTTAAATCTGTGTAATCTTTGGAATAACCGAGCCAGTGACGAAATGAGGCAATAAGAAGGATGTAAATTAAAATCAACTTGATTAGTGAAATTCAAATGTAATGCCAAAAACTCTGTGCTCAGATACAGTTGTTCGTCGGATTTGCTTTGCATTCAGGTGCCAGTTTGCACCTGTCAAAGAATGTGGACATTGAAAACTCTCCCGTTTGGTTAAGGTAAAGCGGCAGCCATCTTCTTGCTTTAGCCAAGCGCGGCAGTTTTCTCAGCGCATTCTTACAGTGTTACTTCTTACAGTGTTGGAATGGTCATAACATTTTGGCTGATCAGTGTGTTATTTAATTTCACTTCATCAGTTTATTGCTTGATAGCATGATATTCGCTTGAAAAAGAAATTGCATTAAAATTAATTCTCCTTAAGACTGCTTTTTGTATAGAATAGCAGAAACTTAAAATTTTAATTGCAATATATAATATATGATCAATAATTTTAAAAACTCAATAAAAATTTAAAAATAATTCAATCCGAAAATTTTAAATAAAATAATTAAATCTATTCTTTATGCTGTTACGAATTTTATTCATATCCCCATCTAGGGTAAACAGTTATCGAGGCGATTATATAGTTTTTACACTATTCAGAGTATTAAAAAAGATCAGAACTTGATTTCAGTATCTTCATATGCTTGTTATGATTTCCTTATTCAACTGAAACTTTTGAATGAAAAATACTATGATTGAATATCAACTGAATTATGATCTCGATGACATTAAAGGAAGAATAGTTACTCATTCAGAAAGAAATGCTTTGTTAATTTCTCTTCCTGTAGTTGCTAAGAAAAATTAAACACAGATGTGAAAATAAATCCATTTCGAGCTTTAGCAATTTATTAAAAATAACCTCCAGAACGCACTTTCAAATACCGTAATATTATTGTGAGTTTTCCTCACAACTGAGATACGTGTTACTAGTTGTGAGAGGATTTTTTTCTAAATAAAAGAAGTATTAAGACGTACATTTGCGTATAAGAATATTTATGTATATTGTCAACAGTTATGCAATATTTATGTATATTGCATTTGAAAAAAGGATATAGTTTCCTACAAAATCTTCGACGATTTGGCCAACGGGAGACAATCAGAATACAATCTTAGAATGTTGGAATTAAAAAATTTACTTTAAAAACCAACACAGAGTTTTAATTAATTTCCACATAAGTCGTTTTGACATTTTATAGTTTGCATGGCATGTACTGAGAGGAGCGGTAAATCGCAAAAGTTCTGGATGAGCTTCTGGAGTGAATCTCATCAGAACTGATGAGAAAGAATATACGCAGAGCTTTTGGAATTAACGTATGCAGGTCTAATTCGAGGACTTGCGAACGAAATTGGCGATATTGGCAAGCAGAAGGCATTGCGGCACAGCAAAAGAATATTGAAGAGGTCTGAAAAAAAAAGGAGAAAAATCTGTCATACCAAGTATCGTACCCAGTGATTAGTATATGACATACCTAGTGACTAGTTATCTATCAACCTAGTGACTAGATATCTGCGAAATCATTTGTATCTACTCTTTTGTTGAGTAGCATTGTTCAAAATTGATGCTTACTGTTTCTTGATTCTATAGCATCGTCTAGAACAGCGGTCGCCAACCGGTGGTCCACGGACCACTGGTGGGCCGTGCAAACTTTTTGATGGTCCGCAGAAAAATTGGGACATTATTTATATTTTTATGAAGATTCAGTTTAAAAAATAACGAGTAACAAAACTTATTATGGAATATGGATTATACTTTTTTTTTAAATTTCAGGTACTATTTTTAGCGAAATTCCTTCAATGAATTTAGCGCCTTCTTAGTTACTTTTGCAGGTGTATCTAGAGATATTTAAAAGTGAGAATTGGCATCCATGGATAAGCTGCTGTTTTCAATAATAGCGCGAAATGGAATTCTCTTTCCTTTTGAATTACAAACATATGCTATTGTAGTCGTTAATAACACAGTCTTTCTCTGTGTCAATAGGCAAGTTGATGGGTTTTGAGAACCATCTGCATTCTTGTTTATAAATTGCCATCACTGGAAGTTTCTGTTTTTGTTTTGTCTAACTGTTGATTGATGGCGCTGTTGCTGAATAAGCGATAATTATTATGTTTACAATAATTAAAAATTGGCAGCATAACACTTTCAGCTTATTGATATTCCTTTGCGTTTGCCGGTTTGTTCTTGCTTTTCGTCAAGTTCCTTTTCAGTGATATGGATATGAAGGTAAGATTTTTGTACTTTTAATATAATTTTTCAGTGTGACCGAAATATGTGTATCAGTGGGATGTTAATAATGTCATAATTATTACTCATAATTAGGGGCGTAGCCTGAATTTCCGTAAAGGCATGCAGCTGAACACCAAATGTTTGGATAATTATATTAACAAATTGAAATTAGAATTACATGTATTGGAAAGTTGAATATTGTTTTTGCGTATGTTGAATGTTGGCCAATTGATATATCCATTTCTATAGCATAATTTTTTTGATTCGTATTCATAATACTTTTTTAGTTTTTATTTATTTTACTTTTGATGTTAAAAATATAATCCCGACAATTTATATCTTCAATGGCTTCATCAGAGAGTTTTAAGAGTCGGCAATTTTTAAGATAACACTTCTTTTTCCCCCATCTACTGGTTAATTAGCTATTTTTAAATCTCTATATATTTTGATGGAATGTGTTTCAAAGACATTAGCTTATATTTTCCTGGATTTATGTCAATTAGTTTAAGAGTTTCAGTGTAGGATCTCAAGCTGTTAAATTCTTCCATTATTTATTTATGATAAAATTTTCAAAATGGCCTAATGTTCTCGTGTGAATTCATCTTCTAAAATAAAGCTTTATCATCTGTTGGTGATTATGATTTTTTATTCACTTGAACCGAATATAAGTCATGTTTTATATTTCTAATTACATTTATGTTTCTATAATGCTCATAGTTATTAAACAAACATTGTTTATAATCTTCAAATGAAATTTTCTTTTTAATGGCACTTTTTCTTTTATACCTTCTGACTTGCTAGTTAAAACCTCTTTAGTTGTGGTTAGGCAATATATTTTCGCTCTTAATCCAACGAATTCTTCCATGATTATGCCATTATTTTCATCTTCCATTTTCCCTAAAATCTTTTTGTTTACTGGGACTATTATATTTATTATTTTTTGGATAATCTGATGTATTAAAATAATCAATTTTATATTTCATATCTTCGTATAAATCTTCAGGTTTATTAAAATATGTGAAAATATCTATTTCCATTCACAATAGAAAAATATTGGCGGAATATTTAGGTTTCATAACATTATAAAGAAAGTCATACATTAATTGCTCTAAATCTAATATTTGTTATTCCAACATGGATTAGTTTATTACAAATGACTGAATTTTTACTAATATGAACAGCAAAAAAATTTTCATTAAATATAGTCCGCCGTTTAAATTTTGGTTTAGCAACTAATTTTTTAAATTGTTCATAATTACAACATAATCTGACATAAATTCTCTTTGTAATGCTTCTATT